CAGAATCCGAGCTCGACTTTGAAAACTTCAAGAAGCGCGCAGAGTTCCGGGATGCATTTGGTGGCGATGGCGAGCTGTATGGAAGGCCCGAAGACGCCTCGCGACCGGGTACCCCCTCCACATTTACCACATTCACGGAAATGGGCCCTTATGGTCGGCATCGGGGTTCTGCATCCGCATCGCCGGCATCAAGTCGCACGCGTCTTGGTGATGGCGGTGATCTCGAGCAGGGGATGTCGTATGCCAAGGGCTACCAGCGGCCACCGCGGCCGGTAGAAGAGGGCTATGACTATGAAGATATGAGCGACGATGCTGACATGTCGCCGGTAACGCCGTTGCACACTGACGCAATGCTGCATAGTGTGCACAGCCGTCAGCCTCTTGTTGGCACTGAGAGCAGACACAGCAACAACGCCCCAGGTCATCATGGTTTTGGTACTGCTGCTGCGCATGAAGATACTAGTTATGAGCGCTTTAGACACAAAGGATAGTTTTTTTTGTACATATAATTAGAAGCATTATTTACTAGTTAGTAATACCGAAATTCGCGGCTCGCATCGAGCGGCGACCTAGTTTTCTTGTTAATTTCTCGGAATCTCCCCTGAACAAGTACACTACTATTACTATGGCAAGTAGGCCTGTTTATCCTGTCTTGGAAATGCACATACTGCCAAGTGCGTGTGTGCATGTGGCTAAGCAAGATATATGTACATGGGGGGTGGCTTAGAGCAATGCCACGTTTTTTAATTACTTGGAAGGCTCGTATAGTGACTTGGAGATATACGGTACATGTCGCTTGTAGGTAGCTGGGCATCACATATCACATTATCACGGGTAAGATCAACACACACACAAACCTATCAGCTTTCCGCCAAATTCCATGTGTAAGTGTCGCCGAGCGTCAGACGGACACCGAGCAGGAGAAGGAGGGAGGAGGTTGGGGCAACGGAACGAGGCGCCATGGATGGTCAGTCCGTTTCCTTGCCTTGCTTTACCTTTCTCACCTCGCCGTCCATTCTTTCTTTAGGGCTTAGAGGGGGTATATCCCACGTGCGCCTGAAAGCCTATATCCCTGAAAAAAAGAAGAAGAAAAAAGGCTTATGCAACACACTCGGTAACTTTTCCAGCATACCTACGAACAAATCGATCTCTGTCAGCACCTGTCGCTGTGCTGAAATAGGGTCTTATACGCAGAAACTCTGTCTTGCTTGCTTGCGCGTGTAAGAAATTGTCAGATGCCTAGGTCGAGTAAGCAATCAACGTCACCAGCGTCAGCAAAGTCTTCGTCGTATAAGCTCTTCCGCCACATTTATACGGACAAAAAACGTAGTAGGCGGGGTTAGACAATTGTCCGTAGTCCGATGGCTGGGGGTTTTTTTTGTCTTGCTTTGCCCTATTGCCGGTCATCGTGTGTCTTGTCTTGTCTTGCTTCGGTGGTGCCGGTGGGAAATATAGTTTGAGGCGACGCGCAATGAATTTAGTAGGTGTTGCGAATGTGGCGGACTGTGTGGACATGTGTGCCAAGGATTGAGAGTATCGTGAGACATGGGGCGGATAGAGAAGAGGTGAAAAATGTGCCGTGTGGAGGATACTAGGTCAATGTAAACCATGCACTTGGGTATGTACACAGCTGAAGTGCCTAAAAACAACCGGTCGCTTGGAAATATGGAAGACCAGCTGCTTGGGACCTTCCGCATCGCGTAGCTAATGCGGGCGACGAGCGATGTTCTAGTGGCTTTGCATTGGAAGTCCGCGATGTTCTGGTGTACTTGGCTTACCAAATCACGATGTTCTGGTGTTAGTTTTGCTTTACAAGCAAAGCTTGCTTTAGCTGAGTCTAGTCATGTGCATAGAAACAACAAGCCCGGGACGAGACGCTAAGTTGTGCGAATAAAAGCGGAATAGTGAAGGATTCGCAAATGCGATGCTTGTGCTTGGTGGGCTTTTTTGCCAATGCTGTACCAAGACTTGGTGGGAGTAAGACCGAATACGAAAACGCATTGGAGGGCTTGGTATTTGTTTGGGAGGGGACGGGGGGCCAGTGCGTCGGTATGTTTGTATAGTGGTGTGTACGGTATGTAAAACGGAGGGAAACGGAGGGGCTTGGTACAGTGGCTGTAATGCGATGGAAATTGGAGTGTAGTATGTAGACGAGTGGGTTGGGGTTGGGCGGGTACTTTTCATCTTCTTGAATGTTCTCATTCATTGTTTTTACTTGGAACGGAACGCGAACCGTTTGTATGATCTGCGATTGTGGATAACACAAACGTCATTATCGAACGATGTTTACACAAATTGGAGATCTGTTGAGAGTGATTGATTGGGTGGAATAAGAGTGGTTATTTTTGTAATAAACGGCGGGGCGGGACGATCGGTTTGCTGGGCGGAGATGGGGGAAGACGGTGAGAGAGAGATACGGTAATCTGAGGGAACAGGCCAAGCGGTCAGCAGGATAAGGGAACGAACAGGGCACTGGAAACGTCCAAGTAATCCTAGAGATTGCCACTTGGCGTAATCAAGGTACAGTAAACAAACTCAAGAAACGGGTACGAGAGGGACGGTTGGTTAATGCCTAGGGTCCGAGTCCAAGACCGAGAGAGAGTGTGCGCAATTTGTATGCCGTCTTAGTGTTAAAGCTTTGGAGCAAAGCGAAGGCCAGCGACTAAGAGCAAAGCCAAAGGGACCAAGAAGGTTTATATTGATTTGGTGGCCAAGCCAAGAGCAGAAGATGGCATTGGACGTGGTCTGGTTGGACAAGAGGTATTAATTGTTTCGAAACACGGACCGGCATTGACGCATAGAAGAGGTAGAGAAACCATCTAGCAGCCACGGGCCAATGGATTCGCCTGTTTCTTGAGCAGAATGACTCGAAGAGAGTGCTGACTGCAAATGTGGAGGCGTCTGGTCGTCGTCGTCGCGTCGTCGCATCATCGCCTTGACTTGTCGGACCGTTCTTTAGCTCCTATGGCTTCCTCTGGTGTTGCGTTGACATGTCTCGTATGCGAATTGCGCCTATATTTTCTTACTTACTTACACCGCAGAGAGACAGACGGGCAAATTGCTATGCACTATATTTGATTCAAGTCAACCGAGCTTGCTAGGGGAACGCTACTTCACTCGACCATGGCGCTATTTGTCAAAGACGCCAGAGAGAAGAATGCCACTGGCATTGAAGGAACTCTTCTCCTCCCTTTTTCGAGTCTCGCCATGCGCCCGGCTCATCGGACGACTGTGCGTAGCGCCCGATAGTTTTCGCTACTCGATGGTGGCGCGAACGGCGTCGCTGGTCCGCGCAGTGCGGCGGGTGTCAGTCGGTAGGATCCGGGCACCTTACTTACCACCGTTATTTTGTGCTTGTGAGCTAGTAGCCAACACCTGCCACGCCCTCTCAGCCGTGGGGCCTAATACCTTTTAGTACATGTATGCGCTGCTTGGCAGCGGAGGTTGACACTTGCACCATGGCAGCCAAGCGCTGTGGCTGGATTCTAAAGAGAACAGGAGATAGGTCGGTAGATAGAAAATGACCTGTTTACTGGCAATCATCAGTTCATAACCCACATTACCAAGCCGCGCAGCGCTCCGCTGTAACGAATCCTTTGTCTCCAGGTTTCTCCGCAGTAAATTGGGCCCTTGTCTATAACGGCGCGGGTTGGGACGATGGGATTGGACGGGAAAGGGTGATTAGGGATGAGCGATCTGTCGGCCTTGGGCGCACATGTCCCATTCGGCCTTACTGCCGCTCGGCGACGTTCCTAACCATGGCGGCGGCGACGGGGTGGAAGGATAGCCAGGCTAGCCCCCTGGCTATGGGTTTTGGGTGTTTGGGGTAAGCCACCACGATGCGATGCATGCGCGGACAAAACGTGGGAGCCAAGCAAAGTAGCCTAAATCTGGAGTCTTTGTAGCCTGATTCCTAGTGGGAGATGAACCCTTTTCTCGCCAAGCTGTTTGAAGGGTCAAGGCGACTATGGGTTTCAGGCCCAGGAGGATGCCAATGGGACAAGACTAGGCCGGAGCTTGTCATGGGCATATTTTATTCTGAAGTGGAGTGTGCACGAGGCAGACAGAGGGCATGACGGCAGTTTGCGCGTTATTGCGGAGAAAGACTGATGACCACAAAAAAAAAAAGAGGTCCTCCTGTGGTTCCGATTCGGTTCTGCCATCAGCACGGAGTCCCGCCGCCGGGACAAACGGCTGTGCAGTGATCTCACCGTCCTACACACTACTACTCGTTAGTCGCCATGGGCGGCCAAGCCTTCTTCGCAAGATTCCCTTGTCGGCTACCTGCCACCTGTGGCTGGCGTCACCGTCTCAAACACAGCCTTCGACAAGCCCCCTAAGCAACTGTCGCAAGACTTGGCCTCTTGGAGCGCATGCGGCTACGTACTAGACACAAGTCGTCGACTTGGCACTTACCTGTCTCGGAGATTTCACCCTCATAGCTGCCGGGTGGCAGATATGCTGCGAAAGCGTACTAGAATATTGCCTCTTGTTATCAGACTTGGCCCTTGAGGAGCTTTCTTGGCTGGAAAACCCCGTATCGAAGGATGCGTTACAGATCAGCATACGCCGGGCGTGAACGGAGCTGTGTGTGTGTGGCTTGCATCCAAGGCAAAACGCAGAACTGGCATTTGGTGCCTGGAAACGCATGTCCAGCATACCCCTAATCCTTAAAATCAGATGTTTTTTGTGAGACTGACACACTGTTAGCCCGTTTGATCTGCGGCAACTCCTCCTTAGGAACCAGGCACACTGTTGACAAGCTTTTTGACCTGGACCTCGCTTGCTTCACGGGCTTATTCTTCACTGGCCCATTCTCGATTCGTCACACGCCTTTGACAGGATGTTCCTGTAACGCCCGAGTCCCTTGCGTAGGCTATCGTTCCTACCCGGACAGGGGGCGTGCGCGCCTAGATCGTCAGCACTAAATTGTTCACCAGATGTCGTAGACTCTTGTGTACTTGTACTTAAACAACTTGCAATCCCCATCTTTTGTCCAGCATAAAACAAACTTCATCATACACAGTCGATCACTCTTTTCTTTTACTCATCAGCCTTCTACAACACATCAATCTATACTTAGTATTACACTTACTCACACAACACACAACCACATTCACTATGCTTTTCAAGACCGTCATCTTCGCTACCACTGCTTCGGCAACCTGCCTTCACGGCCTCTCCATGTTCAAGCGTGCTGAGGGTGCTGAGGGCGCTGAGGTTGCCAAATTTGGTTATGGTCCTACCAACGGTCCCTTCAACTGGGCTTCTCTCGCTCCCGAGAACGAGGCCTGCAAGACCGGCAAAAACCAGTCTCCCATCGACATTGGTAAGTCCCACACTACGCTGACATCAGCTCCAAGACGACTCTTACTAATACTCCACCCCCAGATGCCACCATTGCCAAGGCTGCCTACAAGCCCCAGATCTCTGTCCCCAAGGTCGATCAGGTCCTCTTCGAGAACTTGGGCACGACCATTGAGGTCGTAACCAACGGCACCACCACAATCGGCAACGACTCGTTCCAGCTTGTCCAATTCCACATGCACACCCCATCCGAGCACCACGTCCTCGGCGAGCACTACCCTCTCGAGCTCCACATGGTGCACCAGGGTGTCGCCGACAACACCAAGCTGGCCGTTGTTGCCCTCATGTTCGAAGTCTCCGCCGGCAGGTCCTCTTCGATCATCTCCTCCCTCTCTTCTTCCCTCTCCAAGATCGCCACCCCCGGCAGCACCACCATGATCAAGGGCGGAATCAACTACAGCGACGTCATCTCCACCATTGCGAGGTCTGACGTCCTCACCTACTCCGGTTCCCTCACCACCCCTCCTTGCGCTGAGGGCGTCACCTTCATGATTGTCAAGCAGCCCCTTGCCGTCAGCGTCGCCGACTACACCGCCATCAAGAAGATTGTCAAGTTCAACTCCCGCTTCATCCAGAACACCCTTGGCCAGGACAACATGCTCCAGGTCGGCGCCGCCTCTGGCACCGCCAACGCCACCAAGCCCGCTGCCCCTGCCGCCAACGCCTCCGAGGTATGTCCATAAACAACTGCATGTTCGTTTGCCTGTGAGACAAACTTCTCTTCTTCACCCTTTTGTCTTCTCTCTCTTATCCCGCCCAGCATAAGCACAAAACATGTTCCTGACATTCCTTCTCAGCAAAAACCTGAGACCAAGCCCGCCACCGGCGCCTACAAAGCCGACATTCGCGTCTCTGTAAACTTGCCTAACATGCGAGTATGTTTGCTCTTTTTTTCTGCCTCTCACTATTACTATTATTATTCATACAACATCATACTGACTCATCAACCAACAGGGCTCCGTCCACGCCAAGCGCTCCGCCTAAGCGTCCCGCAAAACCATCTCCATAATCTTTATATTTCCTTTATCTCGATCTCTCGATCCAATTGCGGAGTCCGCACTGTCCACAACACTACTTGCTCCTGGGACACGGGAAATCCGTTTTTCTTTTGCTCTTTACCTTTTTTTCCTTTTTATACGCATCATACTTTGCGATTTTTCTTAACTCAATGTAACTAGTACGCATAGAAGGGAAAGACGGATACTACCCCATCGCCGCTACCGCATCAGCAGCGCAGATATACTCGCATCTACTCTTTTACATACTCCCCAACATCTTGTTTTTCCCCTGTCGCTTGAGAATTGAGAGCGGTGATGATGTTGGCATGTCTTTTTCTGGGAAAGGTTAAAGTGCGTATCGCTTTTTCAACTTGTACATAGTATGATTTTACGACAGACGGGAATGGAGATACCATACAACACCCCTTTGCCTTTTACCTCTTTACTTACTCTCTTTCCTTCCTCGACATCGTGGCTCTTACTATCCAACTAAATCGAATACATTGGGCTTGCGCATTCAAGTTCACTACTACTACTACTACTACTTGCATACCAACCGCCCCGCACAGCCTCACCTACGCTGCTGTTTTACCCTTCGCCTCCCTCCGCTTCCCTACAATCACATGCCTATTAAATATGCCCTCTATTGAAACCCAATCCGGCATATCATTACCAATCCGGCACTTAGTCAGCAAACTGTTACACTAACTACCCAAAAAGCAAAAAAAAGGCGCCTAAAACAAAAGACACCGGCATATTAAACCACCCAGCCTTAATACAACATCCCAACTTGCCCCAACGATGACAAATCAGCCTTTAGTAGCCGTTGCGACGTATTGTACTCGCCGCTGAATAAACTTTTTGGAATAACACCTGTTGTCGAGAAGAAAAAAAGGTGCGTGTGGCGTTGCAAACTAACCACCCTTTAATATCCCGCAGAGGGTTACAGATGAGATTGGTAACTGGTATGGGTAACGTGGCGTGTTTTTTGTTAGAAGGGGAAGGGAAGAGGTGGTTTGGATGGAAAGGGGTGGGGGGGGGGGTCGCATAAAGGAATAGATGTCTCAGGTAAAGGGAAGATGGTTACAAATAACATTTTATACTTTACAAGGGATTCATGACTGCTGTTCAAATACATAGCTATCTATTTTTTTTCTCTTTTCCATTATTAGGAAATTCAAAGTATCGGTCGGTGTCAACCAAGTCGTTGCAACCGTCGTGGTATAAGCGAAATTTTTATCCTAGCTATTTTAATCCCTAAAGAGGAGGGATAGGTCGAAAATATCGCATGTGTTGTTTTCCACTCACAGTTTCGAAAACACGCAATGAACCGCGCATCATGCATATCAATGCAAAACTCAGTCCTGGATACTCATCTTGTGAGCAAATTTCTATCGCAGCTTCCAAATGCCATTATCAGAACAAGGGCCAAAAACGATCCCCATCTATGGATATCACAAAACAAGAAGAAAAAGAGCGGGGTTTGGCAGAAGAAAAGGACAACATGTATAGAGAAGAAGTTGGAGAGAAGCTCGACTCAACCCTATGCCTTTTCCTTCTTCTTCTCCTTTTCCTTCTTATCATGATGATGCTTTCCGTGCTTCTCGTCTTTTGCATCCTTCTTCGCTGCTGCCTCGGCCATGAGCTGCTCAAACGCCATGAAGTCGCCCTCTTCTTCGGGATCGCGCTCAGCCTGTGAAAAATGTTAGTTTCTTTTTCCGATGCGAACAAGGATAAAAGTAACAAGCATACCTTCTGGAACATCTCTCCGATAATCATGAGGGCATGGGCCCGTTCCACGCGCTTCTCGAGCTTGATCTTCTTGTCGTTGAGTACAGCGTCGCACACGTCGCGCAGCACGCTCTGAATCTCAAACTTGCTACCTCTCCACGCAGCGGCGAGAATCTTACCAGTGACCTTCTTCTCGTACTCGGCCTTCTTCTCATCCGTCCATGCCTCACCACCCTGCTCTTCCAACTTCGCCATTTCTTCCATAGTCAGCTGCGCATCTATCGCAGCCGACATGGTCGACCAGGTGTCTTTGACGAGGGTACCCTTGTCCTTGATGCGGGAGAAGAAGCCTGAGATGCCGAGGAATTTCTGAGACTTGAGGAATGAGGATGCCTTCATAGTGTAGGTAGTTCCAATGGCGTGGAGGATTTCAATACCGAAAGACTCCATCTTCAGATTCTCAATCTCGAGATGAATTTTTCCCTTGAAAGCAGCAGTTACATCGTTAGCCTTGTCGGTCTCGGTCCATAATGAGATACGCTCAATAAGCTTCTTAGCAAGGTTGTTAACGCGTTCCTCACGGATCCTCTTTCGCTCCATTTCGTATGCTGCAAGCTCTTCCCGCTGCTCTTTAGTAAGACCAGCCTTCTTCTTTTGCTTTTCCCGCAGCTCCTTCTCTGCATCAGTCATGCCTTCTGCCTCCATGCGTACTTCTTCATCAGACTTGTCCATGATAGCCGCGCGGATCGGAATGCCTCGTGTTGGTGGTGTGCTTGTCCGTGGTGGGAGCGGTGGGAGCTGTGTAGAAGTGGATGCACCGGCTGCGGGCGCTGGAGGTGCTTCTGCTTCTACATGAGGAGGTGGTACATTTGCCGTCTGCGTTCCTGTGTGCTCAGCTGCTGCTTCGGCTTCCTTGGCTGGTGCAGCAGCACTTGGGCCTGTTGCTTCTGTGGCAGCAGTCGGGGGAGTAGCACCAGTCCCTTCGGCCGTAGGTGTCTTTCCAGCTTCCGCCCTCTCAGCCTCAGCCTGAGCGGCAGCCTCAGCCTCCATCTCACGCTGGGAGATTTCCATAGTCTTGGTAAGGTCCTTCATTAAGGAAATTTCGCCGATCCTGCAAGTATCAGTATTTCTGCTTGAACGAGGCATCGCCGACAATGTGTCGCCGACTATGTGGCTTACCAGTCTACAAAAGCCTCTCCACCAAAGATCATGGTGAAGAACTCGGAGGGGTCCTCTGTGACTTGTCAGTGTCCCACACTCGCAGCGCCGAAGGTATTTTCTTACCAAAACCGCTACTGGGCATAGCACCTTCTTTGCCATGTTTGTCGTATGCTGCGCGCAGCTGCTCGTCGCTGAGAATTTGGTATGCCTCACCAATCTGTCATGCTGTGAGCCCCGCAATCCTCTTGCATTCTCGAACATATCTGTCGGACGCTGCCCTCGCAAGCAATATACGTACTTCTTGGAATTTCGCGTGTGCCGTCTCATCTCCAGGGTTCTTGTCTGCCCTAGAGTCAGTCACAGGTGCTGAAAACTGTAGTCGTTGCACTGCGTACCTGGGTGCAGTTTGATCGCAAGCTTGCGGTAGGCCTTTTTGATTTCCAGTTCGGATGCGGTGGGCGGTACGCCGAGGGCGTCGTAGTATGCGGTTTCTACTACCATGATTTCAAATATGCAGAGTGGAGCGGTAGGTGGTGGGCGGTCCAAAAGGAAATATGAGTAGAGCGCGCGTCGGCAGCCTGCACATGGCTGTCCGTGAAAATCACTGCACCGCCACAGCCGACGTCACCACTGTTAGGCCGTGTCATCCGTTCCTTGTACAGCCAGTTCCACGCAACAAACCCACTTGACTCACACTCTATTAATATGAGCGATAAGCCACACCGGCGTATACGCTTATTCGTGTATACACACAGTATAGCAGCTACATGCCTGCATTACAGGACTGAGGCGCAACGAATCTTGGAGCACTCCCCTCCTTGTGCCATCGGCCTCCGACGCCCTCTTCACAATACTAACCATCACCATATGGCTCTCACTCTGTTCAAACCAATATTGAAAAGTGCGTCTATTCTCTTCTTCATAGATATGTCAGATACTAGAGTTTTTCTATACAAGCCCAGAACCCTTCACCCCATCAAGGTGTACCCGCCATGGCCGTATGATTCATATAAAGAACCTGATATCACCCTTCGCAATCCCATGCGGACGCCATGCTAGAAACTCGGTCCCTACCAACCGATAGTGAGATGTTTTTTTGGACCAAACAGTGAACAAAGTGTGGAAATGCAGTCCGAACGTGGAGTGCGTAATATGTCCGCCGACGAAGGAGGATATTACAAGCATCAGCCGTGATGCTGCATGCCTGGAAATGTAGCCAAAGCTTTAGACGCTGAATTTGGCTTTTGCGCGAGTACTACCGGCGTGAGCAGCATCGGTGTGCCCAGAGAATTCGACGACATCATTGTCCTTGAGCTGTAGCGCCTGCTTGAATCGCCTGCCAATCTTGAGAAGGACCTCCTTGCCCTGCTCCTGGGTCCTTCCCTTGCCTCCATCACCGGGAATAGCACGGCCGACTGAGCGTGTCCAGAGACCAATACGGTAGAAGCCTCGTCTAACGTTGACGACAACACCCATGACTTCGTTATCATCCTCATCCTCAAGGTTCTCGCCAATGGCGGCCAGCATGACGTGCAGCCAGAGCGCATCAATGTTGATTGCCTTCTTGTCCTTGAACTGGAAAGCCCACTTGCCACCGTGCTTGTTCTGCGAGTCTTCCCACTCGGGACGTACGCCCTTCTTGAAAAGATGGTAATCGGACTTGAGTGCCAGGTCGGATGTTGGAGTAATGTTGTTCTGGAAGCCATGTTAGTTTCGTGGGCTGCGCCGGTGGCAGAAGATAGCTTACGTAGATGCCCCAGAACTCCTCGACTGAGTCAAATGAGATGACCTCCTTGAGCAGTTCAGCCCAGTTGTCGCCCTGCAATGGTTAGCAAGGATGCACCGGCTGGCATACACACGACATCAGCGTACCTTGCCGCTCGGGGGCTTGGTGAACCACAGTGTCCATGTGTTCATGAGCGGGTGCTTGACGTTGAAGTTCTCTGGGTCATGGAAGACAGTGCGGATCTCGCCCTCATTTGCTGCGTTGCTGCTGGACTGTTCACCCTCTGCAGAGTTGCCGGTAGGCGAGATGGGAATCGTGTCGAGCGGAACCTGTTGGTTGCTGTTTGCGGATGCGGCGACTTCAGCCATTGTGTTGGTTTTTGGGGTGCGTGTGTGTAGGTGGTGTTTTGGAGAAAAGGTGGTTGCGGTTGCGGGGGAATTTGAGAGGGTTGGTGGTGGGCGGAATAAGGTGAAGGCGGGCCTATCGCAGTCGCACCAGGCGATGGTACCGAGGCGGTCGCGGGAATGTGCAGCCTAAGGGACTGCTTGCGGAGAAGGGACGGGTCGGAATTAGCTGCTTGCGGCGGGCGTGTCTGTCGAGAAGAATAATATGCAGCGCAGTCGCACTTGGTGGGAGCCTTCTGGCCTTGGCACGCTAGACACTCAAGTTTCAAACATGTCGCAAACAGAGCGCCAGAGTCTCAGATGGCAGTTGGGAAGAAAAATAACCTTCGCTTGTCTTTGATCGCCGCCCGGAGTTGTCTTCCCATCACCATAGACACGTTTGTGAAGACAATTCTTATCAAGATACACTCGTCGCCAAGTGAAGTGCACGTCTGCAAAGGCACCTCTTCAGTCCAACTATTGATACAAAAAAAGTATTATTATACCCTAACTATCATGCTAGGACCTCACAGATGACTTGTAATCCAGCCTCCATCGTCGTGCAAAATTAAAATTACTAGGATCCATCTCTATACCTGCCTTGACTCATTCATGGCGGCTAATATAATTACATACAGACATAATGGCGAAACATAGAAACTATAAAATCCTATAGTTCGCTCTTTTCCACGGTCTCCAGGACTTTAGTGACTTGCGCAGGTGCCGTACTAGCTGCTCCGCCTAGAAGTTTGCCAATGTCCGTCTTGGCCTGAGACCAGGCAATATCGAAGCGGGCGCCTGCGAGGTAGGCGATGAACAGCTAGTAAAGGTTAGCAAAGCTTGAGTATTCATAAACTTGAGACATACCATCAGCGAAGTCATGACAAGGACAGTTCCAATCACAGCCGCGACAACATAGATCAGGTCCCAGTTGGCCTCTGCATCCTCCTTCTGCTTCTTCATTGCTTCTTCTATGGTGGCTGGTGCCTTGCGGTCGGGTGGAGGCTGTTGCGATGGGAATATCGACTCGATGAATTGCTCAATCTGGGCCTGGTTAGTGGAAACGTTTTGAACAGACTTCACACGAGACTTACCTTTCCCAATGTAATGCTGATCTTCAAGAAATTGGGATCGTGTGGGTTGTTCTTCTTCGCAATCTTGCGAGCATACCGCCTAAAAACCTCACAGACAAGCTGCAAGTTTTGTGTAGATTCGACCATCAACTGGCAAGCCTCGCCCTTGGTAATTTTGACGTTCTTTTGGAAAAGATCATAGTTCTGGAAACAGGCTTCCAGAGTTGCAATGGCCATGGACTGGGGGATCGCGCAGAAGTTGAACACACTCTGCTCTCGGAGACCGGCTAGATAGTACAAGCAGTCGTCTGCACGAGTCAACGCCGTCAGAATCATTTCTGAACTAGCTTTCAGTGCCTTCTCCTTGTTTTCCGGCTTGAACAGGTCCTCGAAATTGTCCACGTGCTTGGACCAGATCTCCTTGGGCCAGAACCGGCGGCCGTCGTCGAAGTCCTCTCTGATGTCACGAGTGATGTTGACCTGCTGGAGGAGCTGGCCCATGGACTCCATGAGTTCCGGCCTCTTGAGCAGGGCGGCATTTGCCAGCCCAGCCTCGACGAAAAGACGTGTGCATCCCTCACCAACCAGGCCCGCGACGTAGTGGCAGTACAGCTCGTATTCTTTGATCGTCTTGACTCCAGCATTAAACTCAGCGTTGTTGGCGTAGTCTGCCATTCCGTTGCCCATGCGCCTGGTGATGTCCTTGATGATGTCCTTGTAGGCGGGCTTGATCTTTTTGAATTCCTCAATGACTACGTTGAACTCGACCAGAAGCTGCCTGTCCTTCTCGTTAGGGCCATTTTCCGTAAATGTCCAACCGTCCTGTTCCAGTATATCCTGGAAGTTGCGTAGGAGAGGCTCCTTCTTGGCCAAGGGGATGGTCATGTCATCCTCAATCGTATCGAGACCACGCAGGATTAGGTAGAATAGTGTGACGGGTACCAAAAGATCAGGGTGCAACTCAAGGATGACGGCGGCAAAACTACGGCTTGTTTGGTTGAGGAAGTGGAAGCATCGCTTTAGGGACTCGGGTTCCTTTGATTCGTCGCGCTCGTGTACTGGATTGTGCCATACTTTCCTGGGGGGAACATTAGCCATGTCGACCACGTAGGCAGGCCTGCAGACCCGCAAGGGAATGTGCAAGATAGAACTCATACCATTGAATTATGGAGCGCAATTCAGCTGGGTGAACGGCGTAGTAGAGGAAGCCCAAGGAACTCATGCCAGGCAGACGTAAAGGTATAGGGGGCTCGTGTGGATGTTGGTGCAGCGATGTATACTACCTGCAGAAAAGCCGCAAGACAGACGCCAATTGGTGCGCAAGAGACAGAGGGCCGCGACAGATACAAGATCCAGGATGGGTTGCAGAGTGTGCTGCTGGGCGGTTGCAGAAGACGTTGCTTTGCCCCTAATTCGAGCCTCTCCGCAAAGAAACAGCCTTAGACCCTGTGGTGCACGGCCCATTGGTAATCCCGCTTTTCGTGCCTCCCTCTTGGATCACTGATTGTTGCGTGTCACTCACCTTCACCGCCAACCCTTTCTTGGGCATACGTATAACGCCCAGCATAGGGGCGATGACGAGGCATCATGGCTTTGCTCAAAGGATCCGGCACGCCGTCATGCGCAGGCCCTGCTCTTAGTCGTAGTTGTCCACCGTGAAGACCACCCGTTCTGCATTCTAGCGGGAATGATGCCAAGTAGATGCGGACGCATTAATCCTCATTTCTTGATCACTCTGGGGCCTCTGCTCATTTTCTCGTGCTGGGTACAACGATGTTTTGGGATGCCAGTGGCCTTAGGCAACAATTTCGTTTTCGGTTTCCGTAACCTGCTCCACAACAGACTCAACGGCTTTTCACTACGAACTCATCCGGTAATAGGATGTGGGACGCGCAATGGGATCATGCCATGTATTTTGTGTTGGGGAAAAAGAGATGGAAAAATTTCGTCCGCCGTTCACGAAGTGATGAGAGAGATGAATGGATTAGATAATGTGTGACGGTGACACAGAAGCAGAACTTAATCGGTGATTTCCTACTCCATAACCCCTTACAGTGCAGCTCGCACCCTGGCTGCCCCGTCAGCTTTCCAGACACCACGGCTACATGTATCGAACTCTGGACAACTATGTGCTCGGCCCAATCGAGGTAATGACGCCACAGATGCACTATCGATAAGCTGATACCATTCCCCCAACCCACATACATATCTATGGCAGGAACAACCCATCCTATACCAAGAGCCATGACAACAATACAGACTGCACCAGTTGCTCTACCACGCGTTGCAATCACATACTGCACTCAATGTCGCTGGATGCTGCGAGCGGCCTATGTAAGCACTCTTATACGTTGCACCATCAACCTTCACCAACATATACTAGTTTGGCCAAGAACTCTTATCAACATTCGGAACACAAATAGGTGAAATCGCCTTGATCCCCGCGACTGGGGGGCTTTTCACGGTGGAACTGGTAAGTTTTTATATTGCCATCGCGCTTGCTAGCTGTTGACATTGCAAGACATACCTTCCGCCTGGGGAACAAGGTCAGAATGCTGAAGCAACAAAGGTGCTACTCTGGGATAGAAAAACCGAAGGGGGATTTCCAGGTTTGTATCTCTCAGTAATCAAAGGCGTTCAGTTGGCAGGATTCTAACTAGTTGTAGAGACAAAGGTACTAAAGCAAAAGGTACGGGATTGCATTGACCCTTCGCGGGATCTGGGGCATTCGGATAAGCACGGTAAGAAGAAGGAAGAGAAATCGGTCAAAGGAGATAAGACGGAGGCCGAAGAAAAAGGAGCAGGGCAGGAGAAGAGCCAGGAGGTTGAAGTCAAGAGGAATCCAGATGGAACCGTTTGCGAGGATTGTAGATAAAAAGTAGGACCCAGGCTGTCGTTGGCAAGATGAGCTCAAGCTCTGGTATCTCCACCGTTATACCTGTTGGTTTACTTAGTACGTAGAACAAACAGATATATATCTGACAGAACGAACTGGTGCATAAGGTTCGGAATGCGGTCCTTGATTCGATCCACATCTCACTACAGAAACTCCATTCCATTCTGTATGCGTATTGTCTAGTCCAGACAAGTAGATAAGCTAAATATCACGTTCAAATCTCATGCCAAGTTTGCCGCAACGCCAATGTACAGCTAGCCTCAACATCAACAACACTGCTGCAGCAGCATTTGCACTACTGTGAAGCGATCTATTGATGTAGCATCTATGAGACATGCATTATCGTGAACTGAGGAGCCGCGCGTAACTTTGGCGCGCATGTGGGGAGGATGCACTATGGCAGTGAATGAGAATACGTCATCTGCTTGACAGCAAAGCTCTGATCCGCGGATGCTAGGATGACGATTAGCTGGATACATGAAACTGACCATGTCGATGATCTTTGCGACGTGGTGTAATCGTTGGTTATGTGAATGCTTGATGCTGTCACACAATCGCTGACCGAGATAATCGGAGACTCTAGCCGAAGATTCCCCTTGCATCGTGCAATACGTTGTAATACAGCATCACTCAGCGGGGGTGAAGTACGAGTAGGCTCCGGTGTGGTGGTGACGACGAGCGCGATGGCAAAGCTGACACAAGTCGGCGGAGAGCAGTGCCAGTATATGCAGTGCCATGATGCCCACCATACACCAGCATCTATACTCGTGCTCCTGCTGTAATAGACTGCCTGTAAGTATGCAGTCATGCATCGCAATCGCACGCTAAGCTGTGAGGAGAGCCGAGCAATCTTGAACGGCGATCATAGCGTGCCCACGGCATCCCCACCCCGACCTCACAATTGGTGCGCAACAAACTGTCCGACACACTTGCACTCGGACGCGTACAACACCACACCAGGTCGATGCGCAAGCCATCATTTCCCCATCCTCGCTGTCACATTGTCGTGACGCCAGCAAAGCGTGGGAAAAATGGCCCCATACAGCCTTGACAAAAACCGCCACCCTGGCTGAGGGGGATCACCGTATCGTCTAGAAGCGCCACACAAGCCTTGCTAATTATTCCAGCTCTCCCAAGGCTCATATGCTGGCGCGCGCTTTACCATAATGAAAAAAATAAGGCCATGTAAGTGACTATGGGGTCCTGAGTTGGGAAATAGTGCAGACAGCTTCAAGGCCAAACAGCCAGGCCATGTACACATGGCCGCCCAATTGCACGCATGGCGGGTTCTAAACTCTGCTCTTCTGGGACGACTCTAGGCATACTCTGCACCATCTGCGTCGAGAACGGCCGCGCCAGTTCGATTTCCCGGCGCCATAGCACGGCCAGCGCAAGCCACTCACGGCAGTCGACCTGTTCTGGTATGGTCGCCTCGCAAATCGCTCTACCCGCTTCCTCACGAGCCGATACATGCACACTATAGTAGGCGGGCGTTGCGATAGCTGAAGGGACGACGGGGATCTAGACACATAGCTGCATTGTCCCACCTTCGGCTGCTACGAACTCCCACTCAACCCTGTCTCCCTGCCACAGAAGAGGTAAATCGATAGCATTGATCCCCGCCCGTGCATGTTGTGTATTTCATTCTTTGGTACGCTTACCTGCGCTTTTTCACACTAACATAGCCTCGGAAGCGCCTCAGCCCGTACAATTAACGTCACAGACAAAACTTCATTAGCACTTGATTCCCAATCGCACGTCTACCCTCTTGACCACTTTTCATGATTCTGCACATAGTGACCTAAGTTTGGTAGTCGCCACGGCCTCATTGGGCGGACTTCGACGGCCACCAAAAGACTCCGTACATTCCAATCAACACGTCATAGCCGGACTACAGGCGACCATATCTACTCTGGATTTCTACTGGATAACAACACGAGACCTTGAACTGACATCTAAATGAGTTCGAGATCTGCCAGCTGCTCTGCAGCAACACGAGAACCGATGCATCCAACAAAGATTCAGCGATGGTCGGGCTTGACGCGTACCGTAAACGACTGGGACCACGGTTTGCGAAGGGTATGTTGGGGCTCACTGTTATTACGCTTGGCTGACAGTTTGAAAAGGACCCCGAACTATGGTATGAGGATGGCGACTGCTACATTCACCTTCATGCCAGAGGAATGTCACGTCGTGGCCCGTCTTTCTGCATTCCTTTTAGAGTCTTGCGACAAAAAAAGTGCGATTCGATAATCAATCAGTGTGATGCTCATTTGGTTTCACTGCAGACATCGACCTCGCAAAAATTGAAGCGGGTGCCTAGTTCACTGATTGATGCAAACAAGCAACCAAGCACTATGAAACTTTTCATACCTGCGCCCGCAGAGGTTGCTCGACAAGACTCTTTCAGATGGCACATTACAACTCGTAACTTCTTCGCATTCTTGCTAGGCAAACCGTTAGTTGGCGACCATATGGGCCAGGCTTATGTGGATCTCCAAGAAAGATTATACCTTTTTCGACCTGACCACCCTAGCAATGTGCAAGACTTTCTGTCCTACGCCGAAGACCAGGGCTACCGGGACTTGGTCGAATGTACAGATTATGCTCTTGCAAGTTTGTTCTATGCAGAGCGTTACAAGCTCAGGGATGTTTGGGTTGATGCTTTCGCCCATTGCGTTGGCATGAACGAAAGTTTGGCCCTCAGCCCAGAATTTTCAGTAAGGAGTTAAAGTGTGTTACCTGAGCACGACACTAACGACTACCCGCAGTCTATCTCAAAACTTACTAAAGCCTTGATTACTCGAGCTCATCGCGAAGTCGATGCCCATCTCGGGCGCGTGTCTACTGCGCTCAGCAAGTTCTTGCAAGAAGACTTCTCGCCTACATATCTTGGGCTGTCAGATGCTGCTCGAAGCCATCTCGATCGATTCCGCCGTTTCTTGCATACATTCTATGCTGAAAAATTTGGCTACTGGCCGCCGCCTCGAGGCACTACATTCCCCAAGGCTCTTTACAAATCAATGTACTATGATTTCAAGAGCCTCTACGACTATCTCGTAGACACAACATCCACTGTCGATATTTCTTCTCAAGGGCCGGCGAGTGGTGGGATTTGTGTTCTGCAGAACGTGCTTACTTTTGACCAGCGGCACAACTTCAGTTCACTGCCACATCCGTTGCCACTGCTGCCAACATACATATCGCCTTCGAAGAAATCAGACTCGCACAGGGCGTTACGGCAGCTTACTCTTGCTTCTCAACATCAAAAAACACACAAGATCCATACCATGAGCGGTGCGTTGAGAGCCGCAACGAATATTCTGGACCAACACGTTACAAGCTCGAAGATTGTTCAGGCATATATCCACTTTGAGAACGCACATGCCGTCAACGCTTGCCGGCGTCAGGAGAAAATAACCGTTATGGACGCGCGCAAAGTCCGGTGGCTCCTCATTTATGGTACTCTCCAGTACCTAGTGTCTGCACTTCGGGCTCCAAAGCAGGTCCGCGACTCTGAAAGCTCAGATTATCCCTTGTGTTATATTGCAGATCCCACTTCATCAGCAGCAGATTGCACAGATGTGACCCCTTCGCCGGCCCCTTCGTTGAATATTTCGCAAGCCATCGACCAGTACATTTTGGAGTCGCAATGCAGCCCTTCGTCTATTGAACCAGACTGTCAAAGGGAAGATTATTTTACTCCAAAAAACCTGAGTCGGCGAGGGTCTATGGAAGTATCACCACTTAGGGTTTCTCGACCTGCGCGTCCATCCTCAGTGCGGTCATTGTCACAAATGTCACTGTCCTCTCTGAGCTCTAGGCGGAACAGCCTTACGACGCAGTCCACGCGTCTCTGCGTTAGCAGTACTAAAGTGTTGAACGAATCAGTGGAGAAATCTCAACCTTCAAATAACGACCCGCTTGTTCTTGTTTGCTCTGACCAATCCACCTCGCCGATCGTCATCAATCGAAGTGGGTCAGAAACATCTTGGTTCAGGTCGCGCACACCTTCTGTTTCGCGCAGCAAGCGAGCCTCAACAAGGAGCACAGATGGCTTCCCGAGAACCCCACTACTTGACAGCTCACAACTCGATCGTTCTGCAAAGGCACTATCACTCTTAGGCATAGGAGAGCTCCCCAGCCGGTCGGGCAGCACTAGCTCTACGGGAAGTTCGTTGTGGAGTGAGGGTGTAAGTGCAGCTTCATCCGAGTCAAGTACATGCGACGATAGACACAAGACCAGTGAAGCAGAAGAGAGTGGTCTTCTAGGCGGTCTTGTATCCATTGTGACCCCAATAGACTCGCGAAGGATTATGTTACCAACTACACCTCCCGTGTCACAAAGCCACATACACCCTTCGTTGCGGCAGGAATCTCGGGGAGACGGGTTCCAATTCGAGTTCGATCACATGAAATCAGGAGTCAAGCAAGGTCACCATGAGCCTAATGATTTCCAATCAACCATTGGCATGGCCGTGTCGATGCCTCCATCATCCAGCCCCCACGTTTCTCTAGGAACAGAGCCTACACTCACTGATATCGAGGCACATCCTCCAGCCACCAACAAGAGACCGTTCCTTCCACGATCCGTTTCCATTCTATCAGCTCCAGACAGCACATCTTCTGCATCTAATGACAGCCTGGATACCGTCAAGGCTCATACAGAGAACTGCTGGGAGCAGTACAAGGCCACACTTACCCAGCAACGAGACCGGTCAAGGTCCGGTATCGGTTCACGGTCGGAACCTGCCTCTTCTGGAACCTTTAAAGTGCCTTTCTCCCGCCTCTCCAAACCTAGTAATGAGGACAACCGCGGTGTGAAGAGTGAGCGAAGACTTTCCCATCTATGGCGGCGCTAAATTCTGTTTGATTTGCTCCTAAATTCGGGGTTCTTGCACTTTTAGCGACTACCTATGCGGCGTTCGGCGTACAAAACTTGTCCTAGCATCTCTGTTCTATACCCTCATCAGCATTAGCATTTTCATCTTTTACACATGTACACCAACAACTAGCAATAATGCATTCACAAGGAAGGAAAAGCGATCTCTTACCGCCATCTTGCTCTGCACATCTAGAAAATCTTGAATCTTGAATCTTGAATCTTGAATCTTTGACGTATCTCTAATCGGACCACGATAAAAGGAGCGACCACGGACGCAGCCTAGACATGAGTTTCCCCGGTTGCTAGGTTCATGACAACAATCTCTAGCGTCTTGCGGGGAATAGGCTGCTGCTAGCTAGATAATCGCCTATCCTAATGACTGAGTGCACTGCGGTAATTTGTGTATAATCACGATCGCCGTGAGGAGAGTCTTCATAGAAGCCGCGCATAGTTGGGTACTCAGTAGCTAAATGTACATCTACAAGGGATTTTACAGTCAGAGTGTCTTCGCTAACAATTCCATAGGCATTACCCTAATCCGACTCATGCGTAGCAGCCTCCACAATATACACAGTAGCGTGTATGCAGATGGCGGAGACAACTAGGTACGAGTTTGATGAGGTTCTTTGTCATGTACCTTAACTCAGAACAGAGTGGCCTTGACGCTGGGTTCGGAGTGTGGCTCGGCATGAACGCGGTGAACTGACAAGGAAGACGCCGAAATTTGAGTCTCCACTGATGGCGTTATCCTGGGCAGACAAGCCAGAACGGCTTGCGGCCGCATTGTCGAATCTTTTCCTCAACAAACATGCGATCGCCTTGAGTGATCTGGAGCGCATTTGACTTTGCGCCAACGACTGTGGTTCTAAAACTTGAACGCCTGACCCTGAATTTGGAATGCATCGCCTTCCACTAACAACGTCATCTAGGAGCAACTAAATAGACCGAGTGGCGAGATTGCGACATCGATGAGGCTTGGGCAGATTCATCGCCCCAAATGAATGGATGTGACGTGCGGCTCAACAGCATTTCCCGCTCCAAAGCGGTACCCCTGTGCAGCCTCGCACTTGCGAGTCATTGTCTATCATAACACAACGACGTGGTACTCATGCTCGCTAGTAACCGGCTATGGAAAAACCGTTGTGAGTACCTAAGGCTCGGCCCTGTGCCATTGCATGCAGATGCACGCACAGAACCGTTGTTCCTCGTGTTTGAATCAAAAACATCTTGGGCTGTCTGTACAAAGCAGTCATGTTGGGGTGTGGAACCTATTTGTGCCGAATATGCGGGAGACATTGTTGGAGTTACCTCGCACTAATTCAACATCTGTGACACTGACGAGTACAATTTACGCAACTAATCCTTCATAACTACAGCTGATCAGTTCCCTGTTTTGCATAAAAAGGGCATTTTGCTAAGCAAAAGGCGAGGCGCAAGGCGTAGTGTACCGCCATTTTGCACACACAAGGCCGGGAAATGTCCATCTGGGGATAGACAGGCGGCAACCACCACGCTGTGACTCCATCATTTCTCGTATTCTCCACCACCCCCTTGGTATGGAATGTACAATCTCTGGAGCTCTGATAGACGATCACGTCAAAGCTTCATGCCCTAAGCGTCAACCTTGTGTCGACTATGTACGTAGAAGCCTGGGGTTGATAATGGAAACAAGATAAATACAACATCCCCCATCCTCCCCACATCTCTTCTTCATCCACAGATAAGCATCCCACTACCTCCTTCTAACCCTCTCCCCCAACCTCCAAACACCGCAGCAATGCACTTCCTCACCCTTACCACCCTCCTCGCCACTGCGACTGCCGTCCCAACGCTCTACCAGCGCAGCCCTATCGGCAACGTTGAACCTATCCTGATTACGGACTACAGCCTGCGCAAGACAAACGGTACAATCCAAAACGTCAACTTCCATATCCACGGCTTCCAAGCCCGCAATGTGTCCTGTGCTGCTGGCCCCATCCTCTCGCTTCCCAGCGAGACTGTCACCTGCGGAGCCAGCAACTACAGGTTTGTGCTGTCATCAATGAACGGCACGGATCCCAACCAGTATGACCTGAGCGTTTACCACCAGACCGGTGTTTCGTAAGTTCTTACCTCTTCCTTTTCCATTTTTCTGTAAAACTGTTATAGATGTGATGGTGATGGACTAACGGAGAAATTAGGTCTGGCAAGTACGCCACTGGCACTGTTCCTACCTACTGTGTTGCTGGCGGTCTCGGACCCCAGGATTTGCAATGCAACCAGATTCGTCAGCTTGGCCCTTACAAGCTTACTCTTCGCTCCTAGATGGATGCGGGTAAATTGACGGGGAGGATGAAGTAAGATGGATATGAATATTGGCAGGCCCTGAAACGTTTCTTGTATATAATGAGGGCGCGGGAAGAGATGGGAGACTGGGGAGATGGTGAAAGGGGGAAGTGATAATCAACCTTCTTGTATATAGAATGAGGATAGTTTATTGAGTGGTTTGTTCGCTTGGAACGTTACCGTTTTTTTCGATCTGAGATTGAGTGCAGTGAAGTGAGGTTTTTGACATGCGGTTAGAGAAGAAAAAGGAGTGCACACATTGGGAAATATATACATGTATCAGCGTTTCCTCATTTGTATCCTGTATACATAGAAATCATGAAACTGTCTTGTTGTCATGCAAATACCCACCCTTGCATCAACAGCTCTTCGCTAAGACACATACTCCGGATCAACCTCAACCACCATATCCACCCCAAACGCACTCGGCCTCGGCGCCACAAAATGCGGTATCCGCCAAACCTCCTCGTTCCATCTCTCTAGCGTCCCCGGCGCAAGTTCCTCCTGACAATCATAAAGATTAAGATACTATCACATCACAAAACGTTAGTCACTCATCTCCATACCCACCTCCACCCCCTCCTTCAAAAATCAAAACCAGAAAGAGAAGGAAAAAAAAAGAGCAACATACCTCCAATCCACCCATCCCCCCAATAACCCCCAAAACCCCCTCTCGAATTACCCCCCCACACTCCCCAAACTCCACCCTCCTAACCCGCTCCTTCCCACACCAACTCCCTAGAAACGTCCAAACCTCACTCCCAACACCGCTACACCGCTCCAAAACCAGCTCTTCACACCCCCTACTCTCCCCCAGCAACACCGCAATCTGCTTCGTACTCACCACCGCACCCTCAATCCTCAACCTCACCAGCCTCCGACTCCAGCTCGGCGTACTCCCCGCAAGTACATCCCACGCCCGCCTCTGCTGCTCCCTCTCTACGCCAATCTGCGCGCGTGATACTGCGCGCCCGGGGTTGCCCGCGTCGAAACGTAGCTCGAGGCGCTGTAGCGCGGAGAGATTTCGGAGTGCGTGTGCCATGCGCACGCTCATGGTCCAGATAGTGATGTCGACGTGCGAAAGAAGGGGGTGGTGCCGGGTTAGGATGCTGGTTATCAGTGCGGATTGGAAGTTTGAGAGGGTGGTGTAGTCGTATGTGGTGATGTTTGGGATGTGGAGCCAGCGCTCGTGGGGGTGGGTGGGTGGGTTGGGAAGGATATATTTGAGAGGGGAGTAAGAAGGGTTTTGAGGCGGAGAAGGAGTAAGGGTAGGGGATCGGGGAGATTCCCAAAGAGAGGGATTGCAGGTTTGCGTTTGCGAGGGTGCGGGCTGGATGGCAGGTTTCTGAGAAGCGGAGGAGGGAGGGGAGAGGGAGGGAGGTGAGGATTTGGCTGAGGAGTTCGGCGGGGAGGGAGAGGATGTGGGGGGAAATTTTTCTTTCTTTTTTTCTTTTTTTGGGGGGTTGGATGGTGGGAGGGTGGGGAGTGGGTGAAGGGGGAAGAAAGGGGAGGGGAGTCTTGCTTTCTTGACTATAGGTAGATGGTGAGACGTTATGACAAGAGATGGATAGATATCTGGTTGGGAAACCCGAGACATTTGTAGTAGGCCTCCAGAACAGAGTGTGCTGTCGTTGCCTGGACCAAAAGAGGCCATATGTGAGGCCCTCTTTCCAGCCCTCCCCGCGGAATCCCCCACCGCACTCGTCCTCCCACCAGCGTCTCTAGCCCGCAGTCCTTACTCTTCAACAAACCCCGACATGGACGCCGTGGCGCTCACCAGTCCTGTGGGGGGTGGTGTTTTTACGTGCGGCGTTTTTCCCTAGTAGCCTGCGTCGCATGACGCTGTGTAAGACGGCCCCCCCAAAAAACCGAGGTGCGTCAGACGAGGTGAGGCCAGTGTACCCAAGAAAGACGAAGGGATATCCTATTTCTCACAGGGTCAGTGTGTGTCCGTGTTGAATTCAGGTTCTGTACGAAGGATCGTTGTGTAACTCTAAGAGACGCGATCGCAAAAGTGATGCACGAGAATGTGGGGTTCGCACGCATTCCAGGCTACGTGCTCTCGTTTCGAAGTGCTCGGCGTGATAGTAATGGGATTCGAGCTGCTGTCAAGCGGCACAGCATGTTAAGGCAACCCCGTCATCTTCCTTCGGGGAAATAGGCATTGCTGTGTGAGGCATACATCATGTCATTTGCGCTTGTATGGATGCGAGATACATTACGATCGCGTACCAGGTTGGTTGGGCGTGGCCAAGCACGCACAGCGTCGGGATCTGGGCATGGCAGATGACGAGCACCGGGGCCACGGGTACGTAGGGTCAGTGGGTCACTTGTGCATTCGCTACGCAGTGCATGCGTATATGCACGAGAAGCAGTACCGGATCCTATGATCATCTCGCGTAGCACAAAGGCAAGCATGCATGAAAAAGATTGTACATTCGCTTATGGTCCTCTGCATTGGGGCGGGATTATCATCGCTATTGTATTCGAAGGCTTACCTTGGCCTACGGTCAAGCCACATGTTGCGAGTGAATAATGAGGCGTGTTGGTGTAACTCGAGATCAAACTCTGTCAGGGCTTGAGAATACTATCAAGCCTCTCCACCAGCACCCCGCTCAAAGACCCTTACGCTGCCATCGCCTTTGACCTGGTACAGGAACTCTTTTCCTTGCCCGTTGTCATCACCTTCCTTGGGTTCGTTTTTGTTGAGCTCCAAGTCTAGCCACTCATGCTTCTGTTCGGTGATCCGTATGACACCGCTCACATCTCTTGCAACTCCAGTATCCAGAATTCTCACACCCAGTATCCTCCTGCTCATATGAGCAAACTTGACCAGCAGGTTGTGGTGCGCAAGCTCAAGTGGTTGGGGTTGTATGGAAAGGCTGAGAAGCGGATTATCTGATTGTATATGGGTGAGAACATGTGACACAGTCGGTGTTATATGAAGAGTCAGAGCAAGCGAAGTAAAGTCCGAGGGTGTGATGGAGGGGTTGAGGGCGAGGAGGAGGTCTGGATTATCGAAGATGAGGAGTGTCTTTCGCTGCACTGCCGTGGGATTGAGCGCAGAGACGGCGCTGGAAATGGTCGTTCTGATTTCTGAAAGGTCGAGTGTCTTCAATGCGTAGTGGCCGGGGGTACTGCTACCTACGTCGGCCGCCTCTGATGTTGTAGGAATCGTAGCTAGTGTAGGCGCTGCTGCTGCTACTGCTACAGGTGGCCCTCTTGCAGGCACTATCCCCCCGGGAGGACCTCGTACAGGTAGTGTCTGCGGCCCTCTCTGCACCTGAATCCTATTCGGCCCCGTGACTTGTGGTTTTGCCTGTCCATTGGCCCGCGCGTCTATTCCGGACATGCTACTGCCAGGCGCATCTGCACCAGCCCCCAACCCATCAACGAAAGCGAAGCTCCCCTCTTTCCTGAGTCTCTCCAAATCTAGGCCTGCGCTCTTTCTAGATTCTTGCTTCCAGAACTCATACTGTCTCATCCAAGAAACCAGCACTACATTGTGTCCCTCTTCCCCGCCATCTTGGGCTGTGACTGTGCTCAGCGCATCACACAGGAACCGTAGTAGCAACCAGTTTGCGCTGGCTCCGAGAGTGCTCGTGAGCAGGATAAGTGAATCCTCGCGAGGGAGTTGGATGTATGGCTGGAGAAGAGGTGGTATGCGACTCGACGGTGGCATTGCGACGCAGGACTGGAACAAAATTGTGAAACGCAATAAGCCGCGCAGAAGCGATGCACATGCGCCTGTTGCTGTCCGAGGCTGAAACTTTGAGGCTTTAAGGCTCTGCTGGTCTACTGCCGTCAGTCGAGTTGCGTATCGGGAGCGCGCGAGTCATCAGTTGGCATTCCGAGCAGTTCGCCGTCACATTTTCTTTGATTGATGGAGCACAGCCGTCATGTGTCTATCGCCTAGTCTAAATACTGACCTGAAGCCCACGACCCCTGCGCCAGTACGTAGGCGAGAGAATTAGTATTGCGCAGGCGTTTGCCTGCAGCTAATCAGCAGCATCATTGCTGCCTGACTGGGTGTCGTGGTTGAGGGCAAGATTGAGTTGGCTTGTAGAGAATGTCACGTGACAATGACATAGTACCTCCGTCGACCGGTGAAGTTAGAAGTAGAAACTCCCTGCACCAACGCTATGCAGCCCGTCTGATACACACCCTACTACCCACACCACACCGTGCATGCTGTGGGACAGACCGCATTAGAGAGGGATGATATTGCGATGACAGCAGCGATGGAGACAGCACAGTATATCTGGTAGGGCAGCACTCGAGCGCTGCTACTACGGCCAAGCGAGCGAGCGAGCGAGCATGTTGCTGGATGCAGCGTCGTCGCAGATGCGCAGTTAGCCTTTCCAGGTATTCTGTGGTTCGACTCCGCCTCATATGCTTCTGCTTCTGCGATAACACAAACACACATGTAGGCTTAACCGACGCCACCTTCGATAGGGTAAACACGTTCCATAGCCACTGATTATCTGAACTCTGCCTGCCACCATCCAATCATAAGCAGACAAAGAAGACCCCAAATCAATTGCAGCGCGTAGAACCCAATCATCATCAATCCAACTTTCGTTCAGCTCGCACTGTTGTGTGGCCTTCCTAATACATCCTCCACACAATCGCCATCGGACAGTTATATATGGCCAGATAATCCTGTAGAATGCATAGCTAAATAATAGCCAGCATTTACTTACTGACTTCCATCATACGACGAGCAGCTCTTTCAGAGGCCACAGCGACCGCACCCGTCTTCAAATAAGCAGGCGGTTAACCAAGTTCCAAGTATGCAAGGTGACCTCGAACATGGTAATGTTACTAGCGAGCCGACAGACAAAAACAGCAATAGAAACTCTGTGTCGCCAGCGACATCCATGGCGCACACCCTAGGCGATGATGAGAATCTGAATGATGCATTGCACCGAGAGACCTGTGTCGAAGAAAATGCAGCCAGAGCTAAGCCAGGAGAGACTCATGCTTTTCTCTCCAACGAACATTCCGAAACTAGAACTGCAGGGCAGTTGATCGCAAAAGACAAACAAAACAGCGCATCAGTTCTCATGACATGGTGGTTCGAACTGGCCTCTTTAGTAGCCGCCATAGCGGCCTTGGTCGCTATTGTGATTACTATGGCAAAGTACAACGACAAAGAGCTGCCCGAGTGGAGATACTCAATCAACCTCAATACGAGTATCGCCGTTTTGGCCATCATGCTGCGATCATGTATGGTGGTCGTAGCAGAAGAAGGTAAAGGGCTCATTGAGCTTTGAGTCAACAAAGGGTGTGACACTGTACCAGTCATTAGCCAATTGAAATGGTTGTTGTTTCGGCGGCCACGGCCTCTATGGCACCTTGGGCATTTTGATACAGCTGCTCGAGGGCCCTGGGGCTCGCTGCTGCTCTTCTTTCGAACAAGGTCTCTGTGCGTATATCTCTACAGTACCATTCCGGAATATTAAATGTTGCATGAACTAGAATACATGTTAGTGATGCGGCGGTTGTAGAATGCATAGTTATTATACTATCAGTCGGCATCAGGCCTTTCTCGCAACAAGCTGTCAAATCTGTATCGTGTGAACGACCTCTAGTGGGAGCAGAAGTATCCATCAGGATTTCCCAGTGAATGCACTCCTCAAACAAAAGTCAACTTGGCAACTACAACAAGAAATTGGACTTGGACTGGGATACCAAGGTTGCCATCTTGGATGGACTAGTGAATCCCAACACGATTCGGTCTGATATCACGCCTAGCTGCAGTACTGGCAACTGTATGTTTCCTTTACGCAACCGTGTCACACATTATTCGGTTGGGCTGTGAAGGAAATGCGTGGATACATCTGATCGGTTAGCGGAGGTAGAGCTGGAAGACCAAGACAAGTGGATCCGGTTATCAGACGATGATGGCATTGGTGAAACCCGAAATGGAAGCCTTCCACAAATTGTTCTATCCGTTCTTGCACATAGCATTATACAGAGAGACTCGGGATCGATTTACTCAAACGAAAAACTCTAGAACACGTTCGACAACTCATTAGACGACATATTTGCAGCATCAATACGCAACGTCAGCATTGTCACCTTTACGAATCACGGTTGCGAGCCTTTGGGACAAGAAAATGGCTCAGAATTCCAGCAGTGCCCAGGAGCCGATGCGAGCTGGACCTTTCCAATCATGAACTTCCTAAATGCCGTGGCGGCAACATGCTCATTCTACTCCTGCGTCCGCGACTATGCCGGAACTGTCCGCAACACCACCTTCACCGAGACAGTCATAAACGAAACGCCAATAAAAGCAGCAAGATCCTCTATGGACGACAACGTTTACGACTTCAAAGACCTGTACAACCATCCAAGGCAACAAATTTACCACCTACTACCTCAACGGCATCGAGACAACCTTCCCAACAGCCTGCATCTATGGCACCGATAGCATCCACGCAAGGAGTCTTGGGAAATTCATGGATTCCATCATGAACGGAAAGTGCTCCGCCATTCCAGGAATTGACCCCGAATTTTATAAAAACGACTACAAAACCCTGAGGTGCTACCCCTGGCAGCTCGAGGCCCTGGTAAACACGGGCCTCGCCAGCTTCGATACCATCGATCGCAACATGCAATCCGTCGCGATGGCCATTATGAGCGATATGCGCAGAAAAGGGTCTTACTATAATCCTGAGTATCCCATTACTTCGCCTATATTCGTTACAGGAACAGTTATGTGCACAACAAATTGCACAAAGTTCGATTGGGTATAGTTGGGTTTCTCGCTTGTATTAATGATCTTAACAATACTTTTGTTGTATGTTATGTGCAGTAAGACGCTGTTTGATAAACGAAGAGTTCCGGTGTGGAAGTCGTCGATTTTGCCGTTGTTGCTGGCGGGCTATAGACTGAGAGATGTGGCTGCTGCCGAGGATATGGATGAGATGAAGGCGAGTACGGAGCCGCTGGTTGTTAGCCTTGTGCAGGATGGGGGAGGGATTGGGAGTTCGCGATTGAGGATTGTGAGGAGAAGAAGAGGGTAGAGGACTAGATTTTGTTGGGGAGTTGCGTGGGACGGTGAGGAGAGTTTATTATCCGGATACTTAATACGATAATTGTAATAGTAAGTAGATATAGAATAGTTATGTAGTATGCGTAGGCTATCATCACTGAATCATATGTTTTAGTTCAATCGGGATAGGAACTGAAGCTGATTACATATCTATCAAGAGCTCGCTAGAATCTATTATGATCAGCCCTACCCTCTTATTCCGTATTTTAGAACAAAGTTTTTGGGGGGCTAATTTTCGTAATTTATTATATGTTTATCGATATTTATCTACATCGGCTTCGTGCGAATGATTCTGTGCTGCACGCATCCACTACTGCCCATGAGTATTGGGCGTTGGCTGCTATTCTCTTTGTACCTTTCTATATCATGGAAAATTTCCATAAGGGACCTTCGAGACAGAACCAATCGCTTCCATGTATCCTAGTAATTATTATTTGAGATCAGAACCTCAGACTATCCGCCCATCAATGTCCGCACTTTCAGTCCTCTGGGACTCTCACCCACTCACTCAAGGTCTCTATTGCAACCATCTTTTGCTGCTCCTTTTCCGGACACAGGTAAGACTCAATGACAGGTGGACAGAGTAGGTCAAAGAACGATAGAGTCGTATTTGCTACCGGAGTCTGAGTATCGATATTATCGTTGGCGCTATCCGCGCTCTCTCGCGTTTCAGGTGCTGCGACCGAGTTGCTCGCTTGAGGTGGCGTAAGGCTGAGATCCAAGCCCAGTAAATCTTCTAAGTCCAGTACTTCTCCGTAATGCGTGGTACCTGCTGCTGTCTCCACAGCTCCGATTTCAGCATCTAGTTTAGCTGGGCGAGCGTGATTGGTTTGGCGAGGCTGGTTACTGGTCCTATTCGGCTGGTGACTCATCCTACCACCGGTAGCAATCTTTCCAAGCTCACTCGGGAAGAGCCATGGGAAGGAGATCAGCGGCATATGCTCCGGGTCCTTGACGCGAGGAGGTACGGTATGGCCTCCAACATTCTTGGTTTTGGTACACTCATCCAGAGCATTTTCCATCTCGTGTGCTGTGACTGTGTACATGGCAGCAACGAAAGGTCCTAGTCGTGCCCAGTCATTGTTATCACTTAGCTCCGCCGCAGTGCGACACTCGCCACGGAATTGATGCTTCAAGGCTGCAATGGTTCTGCCGAATTCTTCTGCAAATTTGTAGTCGCCGCTCTCGTGGTTGTGCACCAGTACGAAAACAGACCATGCTTCGAACTCGGTTTTGATGCCGTGTTTGGCCATCAATCGTCGGAGTGCTTCGTCGTATGAGAGCTTGAGACTCGCCGCTTTGTCCAATAGCTCTTGATCGAGGTCGAACGCCTCCAGGATGCGCTTATCAAACGGATTCTCCCACTGGGGCTCGAAGTCGATCAATTTTACCTCATCGTAGAGAAGACCGAGAATTTTCTTGGAGTTATAAATCTGATGTGGAGATAGATACTTCTTCTCCATGAAATGCGGCCATTTCCTTGGCCTGAGTTCGCGCTTCATCTCAGCTGGTATGCCGCTCTTAGGGAAATCCACTGCTCTCGAATGCAGCTCCGCCAGTTCGAGACAGATTGCATCACCAATACACTTTTCATTGAAATCAGCTTGCGCAAGATGCGCATGAGCAATCGGACCGAGAGCATCATTCTTAATGTAGTTAACGAAGAACTTGCTCATATCCATTGCAGAAATTGGACCGTCAATCTCCAGTGGTTTTTCCGGTGTGAAATCCATAGGCGGCTCGTTGATGAGTTCTGGTACCAGGTCTCTGTCCCATAGGACCATGTAGTCATCTCCATCAAGATCACCCCCAGAGCACATGTTTGCAAGGTCGCGATCCCCAGTCTGAGGAAATACCACGACGTTTTTGAGATGGTGAAGTGCCGGGACGTTCACTGCGCGGACCACTCGAACATCTCCTGGATGCAATGACGGATTTCGTGCTAGTATGCATATGCCTTCGATGATGATATAATGACCTTTGCTTTCGGGATCGCTGACCCGTAAGAAGATTTCTGGCAGGGTCGCTAGTTTCTCATCCCTGGTAGCATCACGTCTGGATTGAGGGTCGTTTAAATGCCCTTTGAGTGTCCCAGTCTCGTCAACACAGCCGAGCAAGAAAGCGCCATTGTCAATAGCAATGCGTGCCTTCTCCTTCAGGTTCTTGATAGTACAAGCTCTCCAAAGTGCGAGCAAAGACATGATGAAAGGCTCACGAGATCCCATGAAGCCATCCAGAACCATCGCAGCCATTGTCAAGGTAATCTGGTTAATGTCGATGTTTTTTCTGAGTTTCTGTAAGGCGATTATCTCATCCGTCATTGCGCTCGAATAGTCGTTCATCATGTCTTCTTGTTTTCGAAGGAAAACCGCATCTTGGACGCCAAGATATGACAGAACGAGAATGATCTGCCGGTTGAAATATGGTGTCGCAAAGGACGATGATCTGATGATCTCAAGGCCGGTATGAGGAGCCCGAAACTTGTATTGGCTCCGTCGAATGTGAACTTCGTTACCATTCAGATTTGGGTCGAGTGCAAGTACTCCTTTGCTTCCTCCAAGTCGAAATTGGAAGAGGGAAGGTGGGTCAGTAAATGCGTTGGTCAAGCCAAGTTCCTGAGCTGCCATTTGGGCTAGGAATGGGGAGAGCTTTCCAACTCCATCCGTGAAGACGAAACCGTTGCGCTCCACATCTGGAACTATAACAAGCTTCACAGTAACCCCCATCGCGCGTGTTGTAGAGAAACATTGACCCAGACGCGCTGCAAACTTGGATACGGTTCTGATATGATCGAATTCCCCAAGAGACATGCGGATATCGTTTGCCGACTTTGATGCTGTAGGCGCATAAAAGTAGGCGCCATTCTCACGAAACTGTGAATTTCCAAATGCTAGGAATTCATAGTATCTCCCGGCAACAACGATACCATTCTTCATGGCGCGAAAAACCCTGTCGAAAACTGCTTCAGCCCTACCGTTTGGCTGGTTACGCAGCTGGCCCTCAGACTTCTCGTCGGTAAATCTTACCCGAATAAAGCGATCAGCATCTGCTTCATATTTGCGAATGATACGGTTGGATGTCTCCATCACAGGCGTTGCCACATGCATCATGGTTGGAGTGATGGTAACCGATCGCTGCAGAAGGCAGTAGCTGGGTATCTTTCTTTTCATAGCTTTGATTGGGATATCGAAGATCTCCATAGGATTGTAGTAGATTTTCTGCCTGTCAGCAACCTTCTCCAAGAGTTGCACGGCTTGTTGGCTCTCTAACAGCTCTAAATTCTTCAAGAACTCAATCGTGATATTGTGCTCTTTGATATACCCATTTGAAAGGCATACTTCAAGCTGGTAGCGTACCGGAAAACTCAGATGAGCTTGTTTCGCGAAGATATTGTTGAAATCTATTCCCTGGTTGCTAGGAGTGACATCGAGATGTGGATGCGTACCGTAGATTTCCTCTGACAGAAGACTCCATAGTGGCGAGGGGATTTTCTGCTTGGTAGGATAGTCAATGAGATCCTTGATCTCCACCCCATGGTCGACAAGGGCGTCACTGAAGTTTTTGAATTGCGGGCCACTCAATGACGAACTATCGAATACAATGCGGTAGTCGGTCCATCGACCTGATTGGGTTAGCAGGAGCTGGCCAAGACCAATTTGGATGTTTGCGTACCAATGTCGATGATGGCAGTGTCTCTATGATTCATCACGGGAGTACGCCGGAGAACTGTTCGAATGGCTCCATCAACTATATCAGTCACTCGGTACCAAGTATCCCATTCACTCCAAATCTTGTCTTTCCTAGAGAAACTAGTTTGCTTTCGCCCGTCGCCCAGGTCTTCACCTTCTTTTTTTTGCATGTAGAAACATGGCGTGGAGTCGAATGGAATGACGAGCGACGGCTGGCCGGTACTATCTTTGGTTTTGTAAATGTGTGAGATCAGAGGAATGGATAAGGAGAAGCGAAACTTTCGCATCTGGTTGTCCATTGGAGTTCGAAGTGAAAACAGAATATCGAGCTTTTTGCGCTTCAAGTTTAGCATCACCTGAACGCCATCTTTTGCAGGTGGCTCGACAGTGCGCATAGCAATCATGGCCTTTTCCGCCACTCTGACGCCAAACTCGATCCGCTTCGCAGAAAGTATAGTGAACTCGTAATACTTCTTCGCAGGATTTGTGGAACTTGGGATAGTAGCGGCAAGAGGTGGGCGTACTTCAGACCGCACATATGCAGCACCAACTCGCAGCCTTTCACAAGGGATAGGTTTGTGGGGAGGAGGCCTGAAATACGTTAGATATGTTCATTTGACTATGGCTCATGGCTTACCTGAACACCACATATGCGTTGTAGCTGGAATCACTACGCGATGTCTCCATCTCGATTCTGAAGATGTTACCATACGATGACATTGCCTGATAAACCTCTTTTGTCCAGCAAGTCTTCGGTAGGCCCAATAGCTTGAACTTGCTTTCCTGGTAATGCGCTGCCTCGCTTTTCAGGATGGATCTGTGCAGATTGCGCTGACCATTTGAGTCGCACTTAGGTTTTGCTCGGTTAGTCTTGGAATGGCTGCTGGAGCTACCGGAACTGTTGGAGGACGCTTTACTACTGTGAGAGCCGCCACGAGAGCTGCGTCGAGCGCCTCGTCGAGCGCCTCCATCGCCGCGATTCATACTACAGCCTCACAAGTGGTTTTGTGCTTGGGGCTTGTCTCTGATTTTTTTTTTCGCTGTAGTGCTGTGATATATGGTCTTTAGCACGTTGTGCAAGCGGTGGACGGCGTGGAACTATTGTGGTTCTATTTAGGATTGGGAACCCATGTTCGTTTGTACGTAGAGGCGCTTGCTTTCACTCTTACTTACAGGGACGCACTAAAACGTTGGCGGTGGAGGCGGTGAAAACCCACCAGATAAAGAGAAGCGGGAATTCAGCAAGGCGGATCCGAGTGATAGAGAAGCGGCAGACTGGTCAGGCACTGGGAAAGTTTCTACCGATTCAGGAACTTTGCTTTTGAGACAACGATGACCAGACCGCAGGGATAGAAGTAAAGTGGGCCAGGGTGGCGGGGACTTGTTCGCTTGCTCAAAGGATAGGGGCAAACAAATCTTGACACAAAATGTCTAATCGGTCGAAACGTGTAGCTGCAGACACGCGCAAGCAATCGACTATTGCGGTGAGTGTGGATGCGGCGAAGTTGCAATTCTGGCCTTGAAGCTAGCTAGCTTTGTAATAGACGCGAGATTCTGTGGTTGTGATAATAATATTTTAAAAAAACAAATATCAATCAGATTGGGAAGTGAGACAAATCTCGGGCCGATAGCAAAGGAAGCTCTTTGCAAGAAAGGTGAGAGGGATGCAGCTGTGTATGTGTGTACGTGCACTCGATAAGCGTGCACAAGCTCTACTAGTAGTTAGTAGAGAGACAAGTTGCAGCCAGGTGGAAGGCCTGACGTCACGCGGACAATGAGACCGGTACCAGGAAAGCGCCAGTTTCTTGTTGCGCATTGAAATTACGAACTGAGCCCCGGCAAAGATCATATTGAAAAGGGGATCTGTGTTTTTGCGTTGTAAATAAAAAATTAAAAAATAAGCCAAATACACATACTAGGACGCTCGCTAAACTACTACTACAAAGGCATGCAGCTTGAAGACAGGAGGCCATCCTGCAATACCAAGACAAAACAATTGAGAAACAGTAAGAACAGACCCACAGCCAACAGCGAGAGAAACAACAAAACGAAGTGGATGCCTAGTGCGCACAGGTCTTTTCTCCCACACAATGTAATCCCTTCACTATCGATACGCAAGGAGTACATTGCATGCATTTCACTCTCTAATGCAGCTGGCCGAATTACTATATCAACAATATAATAGCACTACATCAATAATATATCTGAATCTCCATATACTGTGAACTGACTCTAAGACATGCGCATGGAAGATACCTCACAAAATGACAACACAAACTAGTTTGTAAATATCGAGACAAACGCCGAGAAAACACAGTGACCAATGCCGTTGGGTCAATCCCATTGGTCCCATCATTTGACATGTCTTGCTCCACCCCTTATACTTCTCACTTTTGCGATTTCCACTGCAGTCTCCTCGAGCTCCTCCATGTGCTCATCTACACCAGCGTGCTCCCTCACTACCTTTTTCGCCCGTATACGACGCACCGCTTTACTTGCCGCAGTAGCTTTACTGCTCTCTTGCTTGACCACTGCGCCAGTGTTTGCAGACTTGCCTCTGGACTTTGTCCTAGGCTTTGCTGCGGGCTTTCTGGCAATGGGAGTCTTCCTGGTAGCTGCAGTGGTTTGGTACGAGCTTGTCTCGCTTGCATCGTCTGTTGATACCTCGATAGGATTCGTCTTGGGACTTGGAGATGTCTTCTTTCCAGGTTTGGGAGTAGCTTGATTCCTTACCCTTTTACCTTTACCTGCTGTAATAATGGTACTATCGGTTGACCCATCATCCGAATCGTCTTCAGACATAAAGCGAACCGACTTTCCCGAAGTCTGATGCTTGCCACTGGTGCCCTTTCCCAACGATGAAGGCGTTCTAACCTTGCTGCACTTGCTCTCTGGAGTATAGGCTTCATCACTAATACTACGTTTGCGCTTAACAGTCTTACTGCTGCTGGGCTTGGGGGTGGTAACATCGGCGGGTGTGTGTACCAAGTGCGACATATCTACTACCGGTAGCTTAGACCCAGGTGCATCACCGGGCTCCTGGGTAGGAATGACATCCATTGTTGGAGTTGTTTTGGCACTTGGTGGTGCGGTACTGACTCCACTCTGACGCCTTGGACTCTTCTCAAGCGACATCTCACGCTCTCGATTGATCATTCTAGAAACAGGGGATGGCACACAATTATCCGATGGCAGTTTTCCGTTAGCTTGGTCTGCTATTCCGAGAGCATCCAGTGTCGCTTTGCGTGTCTTTTCTCTCGCAGCGCGTGCAATCTTTTCTGCAGACTGGGCCTCTTCCCTTGCCACAAGAACTAAGTCATTTGCAATAGCCACTCTGCTTTCTCGTGTTCGCAGGAGAGACGTTTGTGGCTTTCCGGAGGACAGCTTGGCAGGAGTCTGAACCATAGTTGATGTGACTTCAGCAACACTGCTCGAAACTGTTGCTGAGCTCTTTGTTGTCGACGACTGCACTTGAGTAGTGTTTGCACTGCCAGACTGAGCATCACTTCGCACTAAACGTTGACGTGGCTTGGTGGGTGAAGCATTCACAGCACGTCGGATATCTGTTGGACCATCTGAATTTGTGTTAGTGTGAAACAATGAAAGAGGTCATTTATCCTATACTTTTCTGCTGAACGCTCAGCGTATCCAGGAAGATCCGCGGAGCATATCTCTTTCCAGACTCATCCTTCTCCTCGACCGTGTTGAATTCTTCCACAGCTTTTGCTATTTGATCGACCGTGCACAACCGCCTTATCTCTTCTTCAATCTCCTTTGGTGGTGTCGGGAGTTTGAATCGGGACCCAGATTCGTACAAGGCAAGGTTTTTGTATTGGTCAAGGGCTGGATGGTCGAAGGATACGTTGGTCTCGACAATATCACCCTCTGCTTTCTGCTCTTTCACAGATTCATGAAGGTCAAAGGCGATTTTGAGATTTTCCCAGTGCGTCAGTTGATGTGTTTCCGGGAAGGGCAGGATCGCTGGGAAATTTCTGTGCCAGACCTCAGCATCACTGGACGGTCCCCCGTACTTGAATATCCGCCTGGTTTGTACTGTTTCCTGGGTTTTGTGGCCTTTTCTCAGGGGTCCAACCACAGGATCATGAATTTGCTCATCTACTCTGTGTAGCGCGTGTGTCACGTATGCTGAATGGTAATCTGGGTTTTGGCCCAGTGACACATCAGACCCGCTCTCCAGCAAAGAATCTTTGTTCTCCAGCACGGTTCGTGCGTTTTGTCTGGCCGCATCATAAGCCTCCAGCTCTTGTCTAACAGTATCTCCCAAGTGTTGATAGAGCGCATTGTCAAAGTTGACCCCTTGCTGAGGCAGTTGCTGTATGAGATGGTCGTCGATTCTGGCTACACGCTCCATATATGTCGCGGGAGAGTCATCACCTCCTTCGTCATCCAGGTAGTCCAGAGCTTGGGTCAGACGGCGGTTGATTTCCTTCGATGATGGCTCTTCACTATCGCTCATTGAAGCAGTCTGCGTAGGGCTAGATGGGCTGCTGAGATCGGAAAAATAGTCCACCAAAGGACCATCGTAGGTATCCACCATTTTGTATTTGGTCAAAAGTATGGAATCAATAGCTGGGTCTTGCGCATGTCAGCAGTGGTCACTTTACAACGCGAAAACAAATAGACTAAATCATTCGTACCTCGTACAAGTCACGGATCAAACTGAAAAGGGGACACAAGAGACAGTTTCGTGAATTCCAACAAGATATCTATTAGGTAGACAAGAACAAGAAGTCTTTTTCATGACTGTGGACAAAGGGTGTCGATAATGAACAACAGTGGTGCTGTCCGGATGCGGCTACCTGCCTTGGCATTTTTTGACCGTATTCGTTGGAATCTTCTTTGTGCAGACGGCAAATAGCATAGTAGCACAGCCATACGTAGTGCTCGTGACGATTGGTGTCATTTCCTCGTCGTAAACAAACCACAGTCGAAATGATACTGCAGTCTTCCACTCTGTGGCGATTTTAAGCTTGCAACAGCAGATTCAAGCGGAAGATAGGTCGTCTGTAATCTTCTCCAAGGCGAACACGATAAACTGCTGCTGTAGGAGGCGAGGCGAGGCACACGCGTTACCTTCCAATAGGCAATTAGCTGGGCACTGGTCCAACGCGCCAGCACGTGACTGGCACCTCCGCCCGAAACTCCGATGGCCCAACTTTTTTTCCTGGTGGGCGATTCGGTATCCCGAAGCGACAAGACCTCAGCGTCGTCCTTTCGTTGTATACCCTTTCTTTTAGCATTTTGAGGTGTCCAAAATGCGGGTACAGTCTATCCTCCGGGCTCAATCGCTCGCCACGAGCAGTCTTCGCTGTTCTGCTCGATCGGCAGCGAGAACGTCTTCACGATGCGCTCTCTCGACCATTGCTGCATCGCGCACGCCATACACCAATGGATTGAAGACCGACACATGGATAGAAAGCCAGCGGACCCAGCAGCAACGAAGATGGAACTCAGTGGCCGCTCAAGTGTATGTGCCCGCAGAGACTTTTGTTGACGATGGCGAGGCGGCAGTAAAATGCTGATTAGGAAGTTTAGATTAGAGCAAGCCAAAGAAGACCCATCCGCCCTCACCCAAGAGAAAATCGTTGAAAATTTGAACCCTATCGAGTGGGAAAGACTCTCGAGAGTACGAAACATCGGTATCGCTGCGCACATTGACTCTGGCAAAACCACCGCCACCGAGCGTGTTCTCTTCTACACCGGCCGTATCAACGCTATACACGAAGTCCGCGGTAAAGATTCTGTAGGTGCCAAGATGGACTCCATGGATCTTGAGCGCGAGAAGGGTATCACTATTCAGTCTGCGGCCACATTCTGTGACTGGGTCAAGAAGAACGACGAAGGAAAGGAAGAGAAATACCACATCAACTTGATTGATACACCTGGCCATATCGACTTTACAATTGAGGTAGAGAGAGCGCTGCGAGTCCTTGACGGAGCTGTCATGATTCTGTGTGCTGTCAGTGGAGTACAAAGTCAAACGATTACTGTCGACAGGCAAATGAGGCGTTACAACATTCCTAGGCTATCCTTTGTCAACAAGATGGACCGAATGGGCGCCAACCCATGGAAGGCTGTTGATCAGATCAACCAAAAACTCAGGATAGCAGCTGCGGCTATTCAGGTGCCTATTGGACGTGAGGATGGTTTCTTGGGTGTGGTTGACTTGGTCAGAATGAAAGCCATCTACAACGAAGGATCCAAGGGCGAAATCATCAGGGAAACCGATGAAATCCCCGCAGATCTTGTTGAGTTGTGCAAGGAGAAGAGGCAAAAGCTCATTGAGACATTGGCAGATGTGGACGATGAGATTGCAGAGCTCTTCTTGGACGAGCAGGAGCCAACCGTTGCCCAGATCAAGGCTGCTATTCGACGAGCTACAATCTCTCTCAAGTTCACTCCAGTCATGATGGGTTCCGCCCTCGCCGATAAGTCTGTACAACCGATGCTCGATGCCGTATGCGATTACCTACCGAACCCCTCCGAAGTCGAGAACATGGCGCTGGACAAGAAGCGAGCGGAAGCCCCAGTCAAGCTAGTCTCATATAATGATTTGCCATTCGTCGGTCTAGCATTCAAGCTGGAGGAGAGCAGCTTTGGACAGTTGACGTACATTCGTGTATATCAAGGTACACTCAAGAAGGGCATGAATGTGTTCAACGCCAGGTCAGACAAGAAGGTTAGGATCCCTAAGATTGTGCGCATGCATTCCAACGACATGGAGGAAGTACCGGAGATTGGCGCTGGAGAAATCTGCGCAGTGTTCGGTGTCGACTGTGCGTCTGGCGATACCTTTACTGATGGCAACCTCGCATACACTATGGTAAGTGGTCGCAATTATTGGACATGTATATAGCTAACATTACAGACCTCTATGTTCGTTCCTGAGCCTGTCATCTCCTTGTCGATCAAGCCCAAGCACACCAAGGATACACCCAACTTCAGTAAGGCCATGAGCCGTTTCACCCGCGAGGACCCTACATTCCGAGTTCACACCGACCCTGAATCGCAAGAAACCATCATCTCAGGTATGGGTGAGCTGCATCTGGACATTTATGTCGAGCGCATGCGCCGTGAGTACCGAGTCGAATGCGAGACCGGACAGCCACAGGTCGCATACCGTGAAACAATCACTAAGCGCGTCAACTTTGACCACACGCTGAAGAAGCAGAGTGGTGGATCTGGAGATTTTGCGCGTGTAGTCGGATGGTTGGAGCCCAGCGAGTCCCTGACCGAGAACAAGTTCGAACAACAAATTTCCGGTGGCACGATCTCAGAAAAGTTCCTGTTCGCTTGCGAAAAGGGATTCATGGCATCAACAGCCAAGGGACCTCTTCTCGGCCACAAGGTACTGGGTACCTCCATGGTCATTAACGACGGAGCAACGCACGCTGTCGACTCCTCGGAAATGGCTTTCAAGAACGCTACTCAACAAGCCTTCCGCAAGGCTTTCCAGTCAGGTGCACCACAGGTCCTCGAGCCCCTCATGAAGACCACCATTACCGCGCCGAACGAGTTCCAAGGTTCCGTCGTTGGACTCTTAAACAAGAGGAACGCAGTCATCAATGATACAGAAATCGGACCAGAGGACTTTACAGTGTATGCGGATTGCAGTCTCAACAGCATGTTTGGTTTCAGTAGCCAGCTGCGTGCTAGTACGCAGGGTAAGGGCGAGTTCAGCATGGAGTTTAGCCACTACAGTCCTGCGCCGCCGCAGCTGCAGAAGGAGCTTGTTGCCAAGTACGAGAAGGAGCAGAAGGAGAGGAATGCTTGAGCCTGAAATATGGGCGGGAGAAGCATGTTGACGAGAAGATGTTGAGGTCTCGAATGGTATACCCTGGTGAAAAAAGCAGGACAACATGGACAAGAAATGTATGACTTGCATATAGACGGAATGTCTGGCGTATCTACGGACCAAAACACTGGGTGTATATGTAGATTATTGTACATGTATTGTAAATGACCACGCAGCCTTTAAACGACTGAAGAAAAAATGATATCCCCCTCAATAACAATCAACTCTTCTACCTCTCCGTCTCTCCATCTTCCAAAGAGGAAAAAAAACAAGTTACTCAACATCCAACCCCGGCCTCATCCTCCTCGCCCTCCTTTCAAACGCCCTCCGAACCGCAAGCGCCACCTGCGCCCACCCCACAACCTCGTTATGCCCTCCATACCGCGTAACCTCGAGCTCCACGCATCGCTCTCCCTTCGCATCCTCAACCTTCTTATACGCAAACGCACCACGCTTAACACGCTCACCACCATGGATACTCCTCCTCGTCTCCTCAGCCGCTACATCCGCCGCCGTCTCCGCCGACCCCAGCATCAGCGTTTGCAGCGGCTCAAATAGAGTTTCGCTCTCGTGATACGAAATATCCTGATCATTACGGGCGTGTAGGAGGGAAATGAAGAAGCCATGCTTCTTGGATTTCTCGGCGGAAATGAAAGATTGCAGGCGGGGAAGCGTGGGCCAGGTGTCGATAATACGGGAGGAGAGGAAATTTGCTATGACGGGGTAAGGTTGGAGGGGTTTGAGGATGGGGAAGATGCCGGCGATGCGGTAATGTTGGAGGAGGAGAGGGAGGGTGCGGAAGGGAGCTACGAGGATTATGCCGGCAAAGGATTCTTTGGCGGGTTTTGGGGGTTGCAGGGTGGCTAGGGAGGAGGGGAGTAGAGGGGAGGTAGGGTCCGTGTAGTAGAGTGCTGTGGCTGCTGTGACGGCGGTGCCGAGACTTTGGCCTAGGAGTACGGTGCGAGACATGGGGTGGCTGAGGTCGTGCGTTACGTAGGATGCCAGGGAGATGGCGTCTGTGATGATGCCGGTTTCGGTGGGGATGTGGGGAGGGTTGTTAAGGGTGGAATGTCCGAAGCCGCGGTAGTCGCAGGTTAGGAGGTGAGTTCTTGGGATGCCGGAGATGGAGCGGTAGGTTGATGGGCGGTAGCCTTGGGCGATGTGCCCGGCATTCTGTATGAGTGTGAGAAGTGGACATTCTTTCTTTGAGGTGAATTGGATGTTTGGAAGACAATATTGTGCAGTTCAAGGGAAGAGTAAAAGAACCGTCTCTGATAACTGAGGATATGAAATGGGATCTCGTAGAAAGGACATGAAGGAAACCGATAAGTGTAAAACGGAGGGAGATGAACAGGAAACAGAAACTTACGCCATGGAAGTTAATCACAATCCTAGTATCAACATCCCTACTCATGAGCTTCTCCCCTACGGTTCCCTTCAACTCTTCAACCACCTGTCCCACTGCCGCTGCAGTAGAAAGTTCGTGTTCATTCTCCAGATACACATCTAGAGGGAGCACATGCCAGCAAAACAGTTTCTCGTTATCAAATGTCGTAAGCCAAAAGGGCTGAACCTGGCCCTCTGTTGGCAAGAAACACGTTAGTGAATCAAAGCACCACTTCAATCGAACTTCACAAACTGCAACAACCCAACCTTCGATAAAATGGAAATAAGATGGATAAACTTACTCGCAAACCCAAACTCCTCAGGATTCGACACATTACTCCAAAACCCCGTGTGCAATTTATGGGCATATAGCGCACTGTCATTATTAGTCCATATCTCTTTCTCCTCTCCATCTCCATGTCTCTCTACCACACCTATTCCCACCACCCTCCTCTCCAATAACAAAAAGAGAAAGAAAGAAAGACAAATAGAAAATGAAGAAAAAGGGAAAACTCACTGCCTCTGAAACCTCGGACTAACCAGCGCCCCCAGAAAAACCGCCCAAAGTATACCCAGCCCAGCAAACGTCCAATACGCTCTTGTGAACCATACTTTCAAGTCTGGCATCTTCGTGGCGCGCCGTAGGCCAGGCCCCGCTGTACGTAAGCTGCAGGCAAAAAAAAGAAAAGTTTGAAGGCGAAAAAGTGGGTGATGCAGGGGGATTGGGTTGAAGTATTCGGGAAGAAGAAGACAAGACGCAAGATGGCTAGATCGGACTTTGGGGTTTGTTGCGGTGGTTGCGGGTTTAGAAGTCGGGGAACTAGGCCGGATGAGTGTGGGAGGGCCGATAGAGGAGGGGGACGCGTCTTGGCGTCGGCGATAACGATGGGCGGAATTCACATCAAACTGTTTTTACTGTTGCTTATCGGGCATGGAGAAACTTAGTTGGGAATAGTGTTCGATTTGTACATGTTGGAATATGCATTTGGTAGCCTGATTATGATGGGGAGACAAAATCAAGTCTATTCACGTATCAAAACAACTTTACACAAGTGTTACTACTGAGGGGGCATCTAGCGATGCTCAAAATTCGGGTATCATTTATACTTTTGTAGTAATACGAGCTATTGTTTTCTTCATGATTCTCGTTCAATATCAACACAACTATACGTACATGTTTCAACATTACTTCAGACCAGACTCTTCCTAGGTCGTCCGGCCTTTTTTCTATCGGCTGCGCTTACTGTACCCGCGCCAGTGCCTGTCATATTAACGTCCTGCACCGGTGTTGCAATTGCAGGCGTCACATCACCGCTCCTCAACCTTTTCTCTGGCGCTTCGTCGCTGCTTCTCGGCAGCCTGAAGGCTAGGTACGTCTCGTCGGCGCGCCTGCAGCGATCAAACACCTCATTCATGTATTTCTCAACAATATGTGGTGGTCGAATTGAGCGGGGAAGGGCGCTGGCGATTTCATCACCGTCATCATTTTCGATGAGTAAAAGCACAGTAACTGGCTGGTAAAACTCAATGTTGTCTATTTCGTTCATCTCGTCGAATTCCTCAATACGTTGAGGTGGTTTGGGCGGGACGAATGGCGTTGCAGGTGTTGCAGGTGTTGGAGGCGCTGAGGCGGCAGGCTGTATGGATGTAAAAGTCGAGTTCGGGGAATTTGGTATGGGCATCATGCCGTTCGGGGGAGCTGAGCCAGGGGCAAGGGCAGCGGGTGTAGGGACGCTGGATACTGGTACGGGTGCGGGAGCCGGCGCTGGCGTAGCTTTTGGAGCAGGTGTAGAAGGCGGTTCGGCGACAGGTTCCGGCTTTGGCTTTGGCTTCATCTTGGTGATGAGAAACGACAGCTTTGCGCCAGTGCCATTGGGCAGCCATTCCATAAAGCTGTACGAGGGAAAGTAAAACTTATCCTCGTTGCCGTGGACAAAACTAAATACCAAAGGACGGTACGTCGTCCTCGGTGGAGGGTTGTAGACGGGCACTTGAGGTGGTGGGTGGTACTGGGGTGGTTTGCTGTAGTTGTTGGGGTATGGCGGATGGGGCTGGTAGAGCGGAGGAGGTTGCTGCTGTTGCATGTGAACTTGTGAAGGGCCCGGGATATAAGGCTTGGGCGTGTTAGGCTGGATAGGCTGGGGCATGGGCTGGACAGGCCGTGGGAGTGGAGGCGGGGCTGTCTGCTTTGGCGGAGCGGGCGGTGGAGGCGGCGGCGCAGGCTTGGGGGCAGGCGGCGCGGGAGCAGGCTTGTGCATCTTTTCCTCCTTTTGGCGGGCGAGGATGGCCGTCAGCTCGTTGATGTGCGTCTGGAAAAACTCGAGCTGCTCCTTGCTGGCCTCGCCGGCCGCGACAATCTTCATAACAGCTTTCAACGCTGGGTCGGTGCCAGCTCTAGCGGCGAGCATGTGAATGACGGGATCAGGCGCAGGAGAGGGCGCGGGGGGCGCGGGGGGTGGAGGTGCGGCCTGAACGGGCTTGGGCGGCTGTGGCTGAGGCGGTCGCGGCGGAGGTTTCTGGTGAGGGGGCGGCGGGACATGGTGGTATTTTTGGTGCTGACCGTGGGAGTGCGGGTGGTGATGAGCGGGCCACGGGGTATAGGGCGAGGGAGCAGGCGTCTTCTTGTGCATTGGCTTGGCCACCTCGCGCGGGCCATACAGCCTTATAGGCAGCGTATGCGGCTCGATGACCAGCTTGACCACGACGCGGTCGGCGCCGACCTGGGGGAAGTTCTTGAGCAGCTCTTTCTGGCGCTGGGCTTTTGCGCGGTCCTCATCAGTGCGATCGGCCAGCTTCTTGGGCTGGGTGAAGTGCGAGTGGAAAGTGCGAAAGTTTGCGCCTGACAGCCACACAGCCTTGGATCGCTCAAATGACGTTTCAAGCACGCCGCTCTGCTGGATCGTCTGCCATTCGCTGCATGGTAGATCGAGCGGCTGGGGTTCGGATAGGGTAGGGAGCGGTGCGCCGTCGACAATGCGTAACGGAAGTGCCGGTTGCTTGGGGGGAGGAGGTGCTCCTTCAGTGACTGGCGGCGTCGACGATGATGCTGCTGATGCTGCTGATGCGCCTGTTGTTGATGATGGTGGCAACTGAGGCTGCTCCTTGACTGCGGTACTCGTCCTCTTGCGCTTCTTCAGTGATGACGAGGACGATGGCGAAGGCTTTACGGCCGGAACAGCTTCTTCGCGAGCGCGTGCCCTCGTCGACCGTCGCGGCTCAGACATGGCGGGCGTGTACTAATGCTTGGGAGGGGTGTCATGTGATGTTGGAATGCAGGTCGACACATGGCTAGTAGGGTCGTAGGGCGGGCATGGTCATGGTCAAGGCCACCAGCGTCGTCGCAGTCGTCGCAGTCGTCGCAATCGTCGCGGGCGTGTGAAATGCAACGCGAGACGTTGCAGGGCGGCGGGACTGCCAAGCGCCCCCGGCTCCCTGTTGGGCCGGTCAATGCGGTCTGCCTCATCTGGCCCTCTTCCCAGTTCACTTGCCTTGGCACCACTTGCATAAGGATGCGGAGGCCACTCTATCTGTTTCTTGTCCATTCTGGACCTCGTGTTTCTAAAATTTTCGTCTTTTGGCCTGCATGACGGTTGCATTATGAAACCAGCTATAAGCGGGCTGATTACCCCAGGACCCCTACATGCTTCTTATTCACCGAGTATCGCCTTTCATCGTAGTCCAGTGCGCTTGGGGCTCGCCATGGCAAATCAAAACCATTCAAAGCCCCCGCGGTATCCCCGGAGGATCGTGGCTACGAACAATCAGGTTTGGCCTCTTTTTATGCTGCTCATCTCCAATCCCACTATAAGGCGCCTGCCATAGTCACTGTTGCGTGCCTCTCGTATCTTTTGTACGGACCAGTCGTTGCACCCTTCCACCCCCCCATATCGCCCATCATGCGGATCGCTGCGCTGGTTCCCGTCCTATTGACATTTTCTTCGTCTGTCCTTGCTACCTGCTGGTTTCCAGATGGCCAGGAGTCTACCCTCGACACTGCTTGCAACCCGGATGCCATAGTCTCCTCTTGCTGCTTCGACCGTCAAGCATGTCTCTCCAACGGACTATGCGTTTCCGACCCCCATGACCCAGCAAGATCACGCACTCATCGAGGAACATGCACAGACCGAGGCTGGAAGAGCGGAAACTGTGTGCGTCAGTGTTTTGGTAAGTCGCGTGCCCTCATCCAGACTCATGTATCCTACATACTCACTGCCATACAGATAACATGCACGCCGGCGCACCCGTCTACAGCTGCAATGTCACTGATGTCGACTCTTACTGCTGCTATGAGAACTGCAAGTGTGAGAATCCGTTCGAAGTCTTTTCCTTCGATGGAACGCCTGCAAACGTATCCACTATGACCGTCATCCTCGAGGCTTTCACTCAGACTCGCAAACCAACAGCTACAGCGAAGCCTCAGAATCCCAGCAACTTGCCAGCAACTTCCTTTGCTCTCCCTACTGGCTCTGCGAACGGCTCTGCATCCGCTGAAGGAGCCTCATCTTCAACTCAAGGCCCGAACTACCTCGCACTCGGCATTGGTCTGGGTCTGGGTCTGGGTCTAGGTATTCCGGCCATCTTCCTTATCGCCTTCTTCTTCTGGCGTCGCAGAAAGGCAGCAGCCAAGAAAGCACTTGAGAATTCACGGCAGCCCCCAGAGTTGAGCAGCGACGAATATTACCCCCCGGCACAAAAAAACGCATACAACCTTAATGTGATGCCCAAGGCTCCGCAGTAAGAATTCCAACTATTCACCATCTCTGAGCGTCTAGACTAACAACTCTTTCCAGACACGCATCATCTCCCGAAATTTCGCCTTCAGAAAAGGATCTAGCTCAGATGGACGTAGCCGAGCTACCAGATGACCAGGTCCTTCTACCCAGCTCATCACACGGCAAACTGGGGAACGAGAAACAATTTTAAATGATACTTGTATAAATATTTAGACGAGAGAAAGTGTACCAATATTGTTTTTGCCTTTTGGGACCCATGTAAGGATAAGGATGATAAGAACCATTAGATATACCCCCAAACCCCCGTTAATTTACATTAAGTAGACGAAAGGAACGAACGAAGTAGTAGTAAATAGCCCCATGAATCAAGAAAGCAATCACCTCATTGCAAGCGTCAAGTAGTATAGTAGAAACGGTCTCGAGTCTTGTCTTTCCCCACTTGTTAATGTCACTAGATTAACTACGCCCGAAATACTCCCCGAATACTGAACGTGGTCAAACTAGAGTCTAGAGTGGCATTGGCATCACGTAAGCACAGATGAACCAACGGTCCAAGCTGAATCGAACGGAAAAACCAAAAACTATCAATTATCAATCAATAGCATCTTCTACGTACAACATCAAACACACAAATAATTCATGTTCGAGATGATCACTTCCTGAATCCCGTCTACTCACACATATCCCCACTCATCAAACACCACAACCATTCATCTCGCACATACACTATCACTTCAAGCCGTCCGGAACAACACATCAACCAGCACGTCCCCTTGCCCTATCGTTTCCCACTCTACCACTAGCTTCAACGCCCCAACCACCTCCGCATCCCCACCAACCCACTTGGGTAAGTATACTCGTGTTGACGAGCACCGCCAAGAACCGCCCTACTACCACCCGTAATTCCCACCCACCATGCCCATGTAAAGCTCTACCGCCAACAGGTAGCCTTGTTCATTAAATCTAAATGAGAAAAAAAACCACCTGAAATACAACCGCTATTATGTATCAGCACTCAAGAACCCAAAATACCTATACCGTCTGATCGACGGAGGATGGGGCGTGAGAAACACATTACGTACATTTTTGTAATAGATGAAGAAGGTCTGAGGGTTAGTGCTGATACGGTACTCATGTTAACGCGCGGGTGGGTTAGAAGGGGGAATCCCTGTGTACCATCATCTAAGGAAATGATGGGGGTCACGTATGTTTCTTGGTGTATTTGAATTGGATTCTTGAGATGGTGGTCCGAGGGGACGGGGGACTGGTTACGAGTAGTAAGATGGGATAGCGGGATTTGTGTTTGACTTCGTATCTCACTGGAGTGTGCATGTTTTGGTGGGGAGGGATAGTATACGCATCACGAAGAGAGCGAAAAGAAAGTTGTGATAAAATCAACGTATGAATTTCCAATTTCCCCCGGCTATGAGCTGAGGTTTGTTATATACACCGGCATCTCCACCATTTCCTATGTTCAACGCCCGATATATGTATCCCACCTTCGTGTCTTCCAAAGAACACGATTGTTGTTTCCCTTCCATGTGTTTCAAACTCCAGTGAAATGCGCAACAACAACAAACTAGTTCAGCAGCAGTAGCTTCGAGTTCTCTCGAACTCATCCCAAAAAAAGAGAAGAAAAGAAAGAATGGCGGGTAGGCGCTATCCACCTCCCAAAAAGAAGAAAAAGAAAAAGAAGCGGTCCCAGACCTTTTGTCGAAAGAAAAGAATTGTAAAAAGAGTGTAAGAACGTATGTGTCAGCACCACAACTCGTCAAGCGAGTGTGGAAACCTAGTAATGACCAACCCGACGGCTCATCAAGTGCGAGCGTACAATACGTCCATTGTACCCCCTCTTGGTGATGCTGCCATTAGCACAGGTAGTGCCAGCCGCAACCTCCTGCCAGACAAGTTTGCCATTATTGCAGATACCAAACTGGGTAGCACCGTTGCACACAATAGCACCGTCTTCGGAGCAGGTGGATGAGCCGCCGCCAGGAGTAGAAGGGGTACCTGAGCCACCACCGGGAGTAGAAGGAGTGGTGGGGGTAGCGGGAGACCCGGTACCGGCGGGAGGAGTAGGGCGGACGGGGGGAGTAGGGGTCGCGGTGACGGTGACGAGAGTAGTAGAGGTTGAGGGGCGGACTGGGGCGGTAGGACCGGCGGGAGAGCCGCTCGAGGCTCCAGGGGCGAAGACACCGCCGCCGTTGGGAGGGAGGGGTGCGGCGGAAGGCTTGCTGCCAGATGGGGGGGATGGGGCGCCGCCAGCTGGGGGAGTTGGGGCAACGGTGGGCTGGCCTCCAACTGCAGAACTGGGAGCGACAGAAGGCTGGCCGGCGGCAGGAGGAGAGGGAGCAGAGGGAGCGCCACCAGCGGGAGATGTGGAAGCAGGGGAAGGCTCGCCACCAGCAGGGGAAGATGGCTCAGCGGGAGTAGAACCAGTAGCACCGCAGCTACCAGTAGGATCCTTCAAGTCGTTGGTGCTACCCTTCTGCACAGTCTCACCAGGGTTAGGGAATTTGGTAGCAAAGTTCTGGGGAGAAGTGCACCCCTCGTTGATGTTGGCAACAAACATGTCTGGGAGCTCGTTGAAAGCAGAGTCGTCGCTGGCACCACCAGTGACTTCAATAGGAGCACAGTTCATGTAGAGCTCAGGAGCTCCAGACATCTTGGAGAACCAAGTCCAGGCAAAGGTTGCCTTGCCGTTGGGAATGCTCTTGGGAAGTTCATAAGTGTACTCGCTGGTCTGGCCATCAACACCGGGGCATCCACCCTCAATGGACTTGATGACCTTGAACTTGGAGTTTGCAGTGGGCTCGGTGTCCATGGTGACACTGAGCTGGCAGGAGCCACCGCCATGAACTGCTGTGCCCTTGAACTTGATAGTCTGTTGCTCTCCAACAGCCATCTTGTTCATCTGAGAGACGGTGAAGCCATTTTGGGACTTGCAAGGGAATTGGGATTGGGAGATGGGGCTGTTGTCAATCTTGTCAACACTGTATGGGACAGGCTGCTCCATGATGATATGGGAGCTGGCAGTGGCGAAAAATGCGGCCGCAGCCACGATGGTCGATCGGATAGACATGATGTTGGTGGTAATGATGATATCGTACAACGACAGGAGATAGAAGTCAAAGATTGCGTAGAGAATGTGAGTGATCTAGACCAGCTAGTCGTCAAAAAAAAGTTGCAATGCAAGGAATGTAGAAGCTGCTGAGAGAGCGTGTGTTGTGATGAAGACCTGTCGTACAGGGTGGTTATGGTCATTTATACAGACATCACCGCGTATAGGGTGAGGGTGCTATAGTCATTGTCTTCCGCCACTGCAACCTCCACAAACGCACCCTCCCGGATGATCCCTAATCAAACAAAGCCTCTGGATGCCAACCGTATAGAGTCAAAACGAACTGCATGGCATATCGATGCTCCACAGCGGCGAGCGCCTACGGGATGAAACGTGCGGCCTAGGTACGCTGAGGCTCTCAACCAAGCAGATGGCAGCAAGCCGCATAGGCTATGCAGGTACGTTATGCGTTTAATGCCCAAGTGGAGAGGTGACGACTACGTAGGCTTGCAAATCGCCATGTCTCGATGTAAGGGTCGTTAGGAGAGTTTCGTTTCGATGGTGTATCCGGTCCATCATTGGCTGCGGATCAGTCGCTTACCAGGCCAGCAAGCGAGTGGGACCCCTGGGCGTTTTATGCTACGTCGCACCTCCGGCTCTACCATCCCTGTTTCCAGTGGCCGATTGGTGAGCCGCTTGCTACGTTAGCTACACCGATGACTTTTGGCTACCATAGCTTGCTCCACAGCGCCTGTCAATGAGGCTTGTTTTTGCGGGCGTCGACCCACGCCCTGTTGTGTACGCTGTCGACGTATGCACAGGACTGGCTGGGGGAGGGCGCCAAATGTCGATTACCATTTTGCAGTGGGGTATACTACGCCTTTGGTGTGGTGCCGTCGACGTTGCTGAGCTCGACACATGATCACATTGTTTCAAGATCCATAGCCGTGTCCGTCGTATCGCGAGTACCAATATAACTCATCGCTGTCCAGACCTTCCGCTTTTTGAGCCGCTGGAGGCTCTTTCGAGTTGATTGTACTCGACATCCAATGCGCCCCTCTTTTCTTCGGACATGCCCGACTTGGGTTGCTGTCGCAGGTCGCTGCGCCACAGCTACATGACCAGCAGACTGTGGCGAGTGCATGCATGATCTCAATCTCAAAAGTACAGGCGACCCCGGTCAAGTTTACGCATGGGCGTACCAGCAGCGAGTGCAATGTGCCCAACATCTTTGTTGCCGCAGACATCGCCAACATATACCTCAACATCCCTCAAAAGCCTGGCTCTTTCCATTGCGTCCAGGGTGGTACCTCCTCTAGGCACATTCAAGTAGGGGTTTTCGTATGTCATGCTGGTGACGAATCCAAACATCTCCGGGCCCAGTGTTTTCCGTTTGAGCACTAGTGATGCACCACCTACTAAGAATATCGAGCCGGCGGCAACGAACAGCAAGCTCAGCCAAGCAAACTCGCACACAAAAATCTCGTGCGTTTTACTGATGGTCGCATTTGTCGTGGCCCCAATAAAATACAAGTTCGAGTCGTGGCTCTTGATGTCGAAAGGTCTGAACCAGTTTTCAAACGTAGTATTCTTGATACTAACGTTACTAGGCAAGTAGGCGTCGACGTCGGTTACCGGTGATGTGTCAGGGCCGAAAGCTGAGAAGTTGGTTTGGGGCAGGTTTCCGAAATATGCATTGGGTGCAACAGTAAGCTGGTAGTAAGTATTGAGTACAAGTGCTAGTCTTCTTGAGAAGTCCTCTGGTGTCAGTTCGGACAGGTTGACCCATCCAGGGTTGTCGCCAAACATTGTCGTGGGCGATGTTATTTGGAAGGAGGTAGTGTTGTAGATGAACTGTTCTGTCGGATTCGACCCTCTAGACCAACCAAAGGCCTTTGGAAATGCAACAAGCGACAAGCTTGCAATCAAAATGTGATCGAATGGTGTGACTCTTGTATCGCGCAAGTCAGACAAAGAACGGCGAACCTTGACAGCGGCACAGTTATCCTTGGTACACTCCACGATCGTCTCGGTGTGGCTTTGACCCAAGGAGCAATTGGTGACATATAGAGTGGTATTGTCCAGCGGCCCATATTTAAAGCTCGATGCGTACGTCAGTTTGCGTTTCGGGAATTCTCGACCGACCATGGATGAGTTGACATAACCACTGAAGGAGTTGAAGCGGCCGTCTCCATCATCACCTCCTTGACTAAGCGGGAGGTCTGTCTGGAGAAAGAACGTGGAGCTCTTCCCCCCAGCGACTTTGGTATTACCCCAGGGGCTGTTTTCATCGGACATGTTCTTCCATATCTGCCCCGGTACGAGCTTTTCTAACTCGGCATAGTCGTGCTTCTCTTTCACGGCAAGTGATGTCCATGGCTCACAGTCCACAGTGAGTTGGGATGTCTCAAGGCTGAACCTCCCATCTCTGTCCTTTGGGCGACCAACGACAGGTATGCCGACCAGAGATACGTAGTCTTCAGGTCTCTGTGAGTCGGAGGTGACGGTTACCCATCCGTTGGTCTTGTTTTCAGTTTCCCTGTAATACGGCACCTTTACGTTGCCCCAAGTATCTTCTGGCCCTTTTTTGACTTTTTCAGAACCCATCAGAGAAGCAGCGTATAACGCTTGTACTTGAGTTAGGCTCCCATCAGTCTCCACGTAGGTGCCGCTGCTCATCGCCCAAGCTGCGCTACCAGGACCGGTTGACAAATAGCGGAGAGGAGCATAAGTCTCGACTGTGCGAATTGATCTACTCATCAGACGAAGCGATGCCTGACCACCTAAGGGAGACATTGTCCAAAGGAACAAAAGGTTTGCGCCAACGATAGTCAGTCGCCGCATCAGCATTTGACTTTCGACTGTACCCCATACAGATTGGCTCGCCATCAATAGCTCAAGGGTCTAAAACGTAGACCAGTTAGTTCGTATACGCCAGTAATGCTTGAGAAAAGTAGATTGCCTCACGCTGAGTTTTGTTCCTTTCTCCGCTAGGTATCTGGCAATCATTTTCATACTACGGCCGCTAATTGCTGCGAACATGATTGGGAATAATGTGGGACCCTGTCTCGATCAGCAAGTATGCATGTCTCATCCTAGCTAATCACTGACAAGCTGAATGGCCTCCGTGACCTTGGACGCGAAGTCATTGCCGGCAACTGGTTTTCCGTTGAGGGTAATGACTGCAACGCCGAGGACTAAAGAATCTCAGCACTATACCAGAAACTGCGGGTGGACCACCTACGAATAAAGTAGACTGGAAGCAGGACCAGTATAATATCTGCAACAAAATATAACCATGAGACCCAGTCATGTTGCTTGAGCTTTTGTGCTTCCTCTGGCCAACTCGATATTCGAGTTACTACTTTCGCTTCTGTAGTCTTAGAATTGGGTGCTGCCATTAGGGGAGCAGCTAGCGGTGTTTGTTCTGCTACGGGGTTTACAACATGACGTCGGAACGGGTTCCATCGGGAATTGGTAGTCGTACTCATGGTTGCTGATGCGCTTCGTCACGCGACGCTGCAAGGCCACGAAGATGTATAAGCAAATGCGGCTGATGGTTCGCGGGCAGCGAACAAGTCTCTTTTGGATGGCACCTTTGCGGCACAGCCATAGCGAATCCCCAGCACGGCGCTAACAGAGTGTGCCTTGAGTAGGAGCGCGCTTCCAGAGGCATGCTGCGCTGGGATGCTCTCAGCGAATCATTTGATGTGATGAAACTCGAAGCGCCCGGTGGACCCCAGTTGATTTCCGGGTACCTGCGCTCGGCGGAAGACAGGCGATAACGAGATGGCTTGCATACATAATGGATGCTGTGTAATGTCTGGCATTCGTCCCAAAACGCGGCGAAGCTTCGGGCACAAGGGGTGAACAGAGCAAATGATGTAGTCACGATGATATGCAGCGAGGCGTGAGACGCGTGCCAAGTCCAAGTGCGCAGTGGCGTCACCTGACGCTTACTCGGTTTCTAACAGGAGCACGACCTCCTTCTTCCTAATAATTACCTTTACGGTACGGTACGGGACGATGTCACAGATTAGCAGTTCGACAGCCGCCCTGGCTAGACCCATTATGATGCGCTGCTGTCGATCAAACTGCGCTGCGAGGCTGTCTGCTCAGACTCAACAGACCCCACCAAATCAAGCGCCATCACGATGCAACCAGCACACTTCGACAGGAGGACCAGCCATACAGCTCACTCTCACTTAGCGAGGCGGATTTATTGAAAAGAATTTTGATGTTTTGGTCATCGTCTACGCTGTTGTTGTCTTAGAACATGTCACGCATGCGCCGTCGAGCATGTGGCGCGGACTATTCGGGCCTCATCAACAGAAGGCTCACTCAGCGCACCCAGATCCCCACACGAAGCAATCGTTGAAAGTATTCTGGGCTACAGGTAAAATCGGTGGGTTGTGAGACCCTTATGACTATTTCAGCACCTCTCCTCATGGTCTCGTTCAGTACTCGTGCAGTGGTCAGTACGAGCCACACCAGTCATGTTTCAGACGCCACGTGAAGAGGCGCAAGCATGCGACTACTAAGACCAGGTCCGAAAGGTACCCATGATACATCGAATGTGAATCCATGCCTTTCACCTGAGGCTATAGTTGCTGTATGATCTGGTGTAGAAATAGTTGCCTGGTGGTTCGGTTGTCATCAGGCGCAAGATGTAGTCGTTCATTTGATGTCTGCATTCTCCTTTTGCACCACACAACTCACGAATTTTGCATACTCTTTTTCCTCATCGAAATGAAGCCAGAAACAGAAGAAGCGGTTCAAGCGGTATGTTCCCGTCCCAAAACTAGCGCTTTGGCGGTGACACCAGTTTCGCATATTGATTATAGCAAAGTACTGACCGATTTTATACAGGCCAAAGGCCTATTAACAGAACTGGTAATCGTCGCATCGTTGGTGCGAGCTTTGACTGATTCTTTTGGATCAGCAAGCGATCTGTATCAAAAGCTGAAGCGCAAGTCTAGTCCCAGAGACAGCGACGATGAAGACAGATTCCACATCAACATGCTTGGCCACAGACGCCGCGACTCTGGATTCAGCATGTCGAGCAGGAGCAAGGACCTTTGCGAAAGCGAAGGAGAGCTCATTTTTACCTCTTCAGCTCAAATACGAGCCGAATATGAACGTGGATACGGGAAGATAGGAGAGTCTTTCGCTCGTGGGGATGGTAAGTTTCATATAGACTTAATGGGCTACATGCTGACTCGACGTAGCTACGGCGCAGATCCAGCTACAATCACAAATCATACAGCTTCAGAAGGTGCTTCTGGTCATCCACCAAGACCTGTCTATGAGCTCGTATATCGCGCCCTCGTCCACCCACTCGCACCTTGTGCGTCTGATCCAGACTACACGGACAGCGCGTGCAGCCTCGATGGCGGCACTGAGCATGCAGTATCAACGCATGCTGCCCACGCCCTCGCCTTCCCCAAGGCAGCCAGATCCGCCATTCAGTCCGCCTTACAGTCCGCCTGGGGCTTTCCCAGACCCCGAGGATACTTGGCACACGACAAAACCGTTTAAGCCAAGGCGGCGTACGGGTGACAGCTCAAGCTCATCGACTTCTTCAGAAGACAAGGAATTCAAGATACTCCCGGTTCCCAACCCGATTTCTAAACCGAAGCCAGTACCGAAACCAGAGCCAGATCTGAAGCCTAAGCCAAAACCCGAGGATAAGCCGTGTCCTCCGACGACAAAGACCCGGCTGTTCTGCATCTACGCGAAAGAGCTCCAAGACAACCCCCTCATGCCTCTGGCCGACGCCTACAAGCCTTGTGGTGACAACAAGTGTCCATTCTGCCGCACATACCTAGCAATGCGACCCGGCAAAATCTGGGAAATCGTCGTCGACAACTGCCGCGAATCCAAGCACCTCCGCCGCAAACCCCTTTACCGCGTCTTCCGCATCAAGAACCGCTTCATCGTAAAGTCGCACCGCGAACAAGGCGGTTTCGCATGCGTCCTCTGCGCCAGATTCCGGCGCTTCGACATGTTGTGTCGTGACATCGGGTCACTCATGGATCACCTGTGGCGCGAGCACACAGCCGACGAACTCGAGTGGGACTGCGATATTCTAGAATGCTGAACAACCTCTTCCATTTCTTTTTTCATTCGGTGTTTCATTCGGCGTTCTTAATGATACCCCCCCTAACGATCTCTTTACGCTCACGATTTCCCATTGTTTGGTTTATTATACACATCATTACCACTACATAGCAAACTAATCCCCATGCATCTCATCCCTATCTTCCTTAGAAAAGCGTCATAACTTCCATCTTACCCCCCTTTACCCCCGTGATATCCAACTCCCCCCTCTTCATCTTCTTCGCATCGCACATCTTCACGTTGGTGAAATACCACATATGCGCATCGACATCCACAAGAAACCATTTCATATTTCCGCGAAAGCTAACCGCTCCCTCGTACACTTGGACATCGGCTGCAGCTACATCCTTGCCGTTGGGCTTGTTGATGTAGTACTCCGGGCTCGTATGTACGTATCCCATTGTCAACAGCGGGAGTTTGGGCACGGGGTCGTTCCAGTGCGTGATGCGGTAGTTACCGCCGGCTTGCTTGGTGATGTAGTCGCTTATCTTGCTTCCGCCGACGCGCGGTGAGCCGTAGGTGTATAGTGCTACTGTGCGGCCTGCATTGCGCATGCTGGCTGCGGCGAGCGTGGCGATGGCGCCGCCGAGGGAGTGGCCCGTTACGCGGATCTCGTAAGAAGGGTTTGCGGTGACGGCTTGCGATACGGCTGGTAGGACGCGGTCGCGGGCGTCGAGCCAGGATCGCCAGAAACCGCGGTGGGCGGAGCAGGAAGTGCAGATGTCGGTTTTGGTCATGCCGAGATCGAAGTTCGTTAGCCAGTTTTCTGGAGTCTTGCTGCCACGGAAGGATACGATGATGAGTTTGTTGGTATGGTCTGCGGCGATGTAACCTGTTACATCTGTTGATTTGTCGTCTCTGTTGGGGTTGTTAGTTTTTTCTTTTTCCTTTTCCAGGTCGTTGAGTGCAAGTATAGTCGACTTACTCGTTGTATTCGGCTACAGTATTTGAATCTGCGGCTTGAACCAGTGGACACTTTCCGTCCACGCAGCTGACCTTGTCGCCAGGTGAATTGTAGTTATCGGAGCAGTAGGCTGCTGAAGCGTATTGGCTCATCAAACCCATGTCACTGATGAGTTCATCGGTAACAGCCACTACTTCTTGTTAGAATGCGATTCGTAGAAACTTTAGAATTCACCGGGATGACATACCCCTCTTCTCCATAGCCAGTGGTGAAGCATTGGCTGAGAAAGCGCTTAGAAGCGCGGCAATAGCGAGTGACGAGAAAGAACGCATGTCGTTGCAATGAAAACCAATGAATGAGCAAAAATGAACGACTGTAGAACTGTAGCAAAACGGATATCAACTCTCAAGATGACTCGCAAAGGGAGCAGTACGACATATAAAACATGCACATTTGCTTTCCCACGGATTCATGGTGTGTGTCCCAAGGAAACTAAACGCCATCGCAATAAGGAACGCCAACTCTCTCCTCAAATGCGGTCCTTGCAACTACCCGCCGACCCGTTCCTTCTGCAGGTCTCTGCAGATGTGAATCAAGACAGAGTCATTGGAGGATTGATTTGTCACGAGGCTTTGCTTCACCTTGAGTGTGTCTAATTCGGGAGCGGCTTCCGGAACGTGATTGGCCATACGCTAGAACGTGCCATATTGCTAGTCCAGATCGTTGGCGCGTGCCCAGCGCTTAGGGCTGAGTCTTGGCTATTGAAGGCGTGGAGCTAATCACTTGACGGAAATGTAGCAAGGACAGTTTGTTTGATTTACATTGAGCTCCATGCCTTTCGACTGTTAGTTTGGGGTAAGGTAGTAGTTGAAGGAGTGTGTGAAAGCCGCGACTTTATTCTCTACTAAAAGAATTTACCGCAAATCTTATCGATAAAGAAATTATTCTCCTATGCACGGACGAAAAGCCACAGTTTAGTACTCCCCTTTTTTGCATATTCTGTAGAGACTTTGCAAAAGAAAAATGAGAAAATACATGAGCGAGATCAACAGTGGGTTGTGTACAGAGCTTAGGCTGCGCAGATCTGCGAATGCGGAGATTATTTCTTGCAGTACAGTCAGCGTATTTCCGTAGGTAATATGGAGATGGAGATACTGGGGCCTTACTTTGACTTGGCAGATTGCTTCTCCCCGACCTCATAACAAAGTGTTCCAGCATCTTACCTGAAGTCTAGCAATATCCTTTTATTTCAGGTCTGTTAAATGTATGTCAAGAGGCTATAGAGTACGGGAGCGAACATGATGTCTGCACAAGACCCCGAGACTGAGGCGTTTGAGAGCTTCGTAATGAACTCGCGATAGTATTCAAGCGTCTGTAGAGTATCAAAGCTCTTCAGCGGTCTTAACTCCAAACAAACTTATTTCTGGAAATGCAGTTTGGTTCGCACTTTGACCTACCTCTTATTGAAAATAGACGTGTGCTAGACAAAGAGCAATCCTTGCTCTAGTGGGTGCCGCACCATTCTATGCCCCACAACTCCCACTTATTTCCTTGACGATAATTTGGATGGCCTTTTTTTTAGTCGCGCACGTAGTTTTGAAACATCTCGTTTCCTCCTTTCGAGGAAAAAAATTCTTCGTAGGTAAGAGGAATTGAATGCGCATTGCAGTTTTCGTAGGGCCACTCCATTGAGTTGGCAAGTCTGATGATGGATAAGCTTAAACTTAGTATCCATGTTGTAGTCGTGTAGCGAAATGGTTATTGCCCTGTATCTTGACGCAATTGGCATTCTAATTCTCTAAAGAGGACTGAAAGTGAAGACGAGTGTTAGAACGTTTGAGTGCTAGTTCAAATCTCAGATAGAGATCACATGCCAGTTGATGGGAATTTTGATGGCTGGAAGGCCGCGTTAACTTCCTTCCTGCTCTTATGAGGAATCATCACAATGGGCTGTTGGTCTATAGTTCCGATCTTTCCTTTGTGCAAACATCAGTTTGGACATGACGGTAGCGTTCAATGAACCTCTACATGCCGAGATCTCCTTATGGGAGTTGGGGTTCTAGGCCACAAAAATGGTCGCGGGGTTGGATCTTGCCACCGTGTGGATCTCCAGGGGCGCGCTAAACCCTTCAGTCACCGCTTGATATCTCCTTAGCGCCGCGACCTCGCACCTCAATACAACTACAACCCTATCGGACATCTGAACTCTAGGTTTTTCATTGTTGCCAAAGTTGATGGTTCGCTTATTGTATCCCAAAGTCCGCAGTAACTATTAATTGCGAGGCCGGCGAGCTTTCCATCGCCGTTGGGACCATCGGACCACCTGGCCATACCCTACTGCCAGCGATATCTTTGCATCGCCTGCAAAATGGGCAAACTAGCTTATCCCCTCGATCCCAAACTTACAAGCCAGGATCGTATCGTGCTGAATATTCTGCAAAAAGAATATGAGCTGCACGGAGACCATGGGAACGGATCGCCGTCAGATGCAGGGGATGATTCTGACGACTCTGGCACCAAACATTCCAAACCCGTAATCCCATCACCAGAAGGTGCGTTTCTCCATTGGTGAAGAATAGTCCCACCTCTTTCCTCATTGGTGTTGTGCGACTAACCTTTGCAGACCTCCAAGACCAGCAACAACAAGCAATTGCTTATTTCAAAAAGCTCAATGATCCAAAGTCTGACAGCTTTGAACCCACGGTATTCTGCACGTATGATGAGCCAGACATCAAGAATCCTCTTCTTCGTAAATGGATTATCGATCCCTACATCCGCTGGGCCAAGAAGGTGGTTCGTGTAGAGACAGATGTTGTAATGGTTACGCATCTGCTTCTTTACTTTTGCACCAGCGTCCCATCAGCTATTTACCTATATGTCAACTTTCATTGGTGGCATGCTGTACTTCATTGTGTCATGCAAGGCACGTACATGGGTCCATTCACTCTCCTCAAACACCAACATATCCACATGCGGGGTGTACTCAGTCCCAATTATAGCCTGTTTGATCGGATCTTTCCATACATTTTAGATCCGCTGATGGGCCATACCTGGAACTCGTACTACTATCATCACGTCAAGCATCACCACGTGGAAGGCAACGGTCCTAATGACCTTTCTTCAACTATCCGGTATCAGCGAGACAGCCTCTGGGACTTCATGCAATATGTCGGCCGCTTCTATTTCTTCATTTGGTTCGATCTGCCCATGTACTTTATCCGCACACGCAAGCCCAACCTTGCACTTCAAGCAGGTGTGTGCGAATGGAGCAACTACCTCTTCCTGTACCTCATGTACAACTATGTCAGTGCCCGCTCAACAATTTTCGTCTTCTTGATCCCTCTCAACTTCATGCGAGTGGCTCTTATGACGGGCAATTGGGGCCAGCACGCCTTTGTCGACGAAACCGAACCGGACTCGGACTTTCGATCAAGCATAACGCTTATCGACTCAGTAGTAAGTTTGAGATGAACATAATCAACTCATATACCAGCCTAACTTTTCAAAAGAGCAACAGAGACTGCTACAATGATGGCTATCATACCTCTCATCACCTCAACCCGCTCCGTCATTGGCGCGATCACCCCGTCGCCTTCCTGTCTCAGAAAAAGCAGTACGCCGACGAACACGCAATCGTATTCTACAACATTGACTACTTCTTCCTAACAATCAACCTCCTGAGAAAGAACTACGAGCACATCGCCAAGTGCCTGGTCCCCATAGGCGACCAGATGAACCTCACGCTCGACGAGAAGATTGCGATGCTAAAGCGCAAGACGAGACGATTTACGGAAGAAGAGATTGCAGAGAAGTGGGGGAAGCAATTTGCAAAGTCAAAGTAGAGTGCGGGCTTGAGAGCTTGGATCAGTACGTAGCTGTCTGAATATAGAGCTTGATCACCGACACTGCTATACCCAGCTTTGTCCCTATCCCCCACCGCAAACGTAGCAGTATTCCTCAAACCCACCACAAGTCATCTAATGGTGTCTGGAAGCAAGACACTCTACGATACCAGTGTCAATACGTGAGAAAACGGACGAACGAAAACAATCAGAATTTTCCTTTCCAACCGTATTGCAAAACTGACCATGATCAGTGACAGAAACCTTGCAGTTTAATGGCACTCTAGCGAAACTATATGCCGTAGTGATCATTAAATTTTACGAAAAGTTCAGTATCTGCCACTCAAGCTACATACGCTTCATCATTGAAATGTACATCCACCAGGTTTACATAGAAACTCTGCAAAGCCATGCTGGTACAATGTTCTCACGACACCCGAATATTCTTAGCTTGATCAAAACATCTACGCTCCACCCGTTAGACGTTAAGAGCACTCGTGCAAGAAATGACTATCTCATACTACAAGGTAACCTGAGAGAAGTACAAGAAACATGACGTTTGTATTGCATAGGTCTTCAGGACATGTATATGATCTCTCTATACTGATACGAAATCTAAACTCAGTATATCGGATCACATAGCCATAGCCCCAGCATTGTCCCTCAAATCCCCACCCAATCCATCCATGACTCCAAAAACCGCAACTGTCCCTGTCTCATATGCTCCGAAAACTCCTCCAAGTTGATCAACCCACCACCCTTGCGACGATTGATTTCCTGATCCACACTTTCAAGACTGGCGAGCATTATGAGATGGAGTGGAGATTGAGGGTTCATAGCCACCCGGCGGATAGAGCGCTGCAAGGGCTTCACTTGGTTTGTCTCGGGGTGGTAAGGATCCGTCGAGTGGCTGATTTGGTTGCACCCGCATTGAACGAGATTTGTACCCTCTAGGTTTTGGATAAAGAGGAAATGACGCTCTGGAACATCGGAATACCAGTTCAGCTGCACTGTATCTGGTGTTGGACCTCCTGGCTCTGCGGGGCACGAGAGGGGCATGAGCTCAAGAACCCGTTCGCTGACATCGGCTGCCGCGGCAACTGTTGATGGAGAACCGGATTCTGGTTCTGATGTCGAATCTGTGGATCGTTTTCTTCCTGGGTATCGTTTCAAACCATCGTGGGCTGCGCATACAAAGAAACATCGGCCGGGGTCTGCGTCTTCGTTTGTTGACACTGATGACTCGTCAGTTTCAGAAGCCGCACCAGTCTCTGAAGAGCTGCATGAGCCATTCTGCGAATTGGTTGGTAGAGGTGCGAGAGAGTTTGGTCGGAACTGGGGCATGGTAGGGTCCCTGCGATCGGAAACTGGACTTTTACTCGGAACAGAGCATGGTAGCCATCCCTGCTTTTCTGCACAGCTCATGAATGCATTAATGGCCTCCTCCCGAAGCTGATACTGGCACATATACATGTTCCATATTGTCATGTTGTCGGCATTGCTTGGCTTAGGATTCTTAACGGAGCTCAAAACTTTTGCTTCAACAGAATTGTAGATAGCCTCTACTGCCGCTCGAACCTCCTCATCGGTGCGTGGTCCGTGATGAATGGGATTCACGAACAAATTCTGGATATTTGATTCTCCATAGTTCAGCGCCCAGCAGAACTTGTCTACCATGCATTTAGAGAACCGAAAGATGCCAACCTGGAGAATGACTTCAACGTCGGCTTTCCTGGCTGTGAAGAGATGCGTAATCGTAGACTCGATATCGGCAGCTCTTGAGCGGCGCTCACTGCGTGTGTCCTGGGCGTCCATAGCCATGTCTTCTTTTTCAAGAAACAGCGGGTTGAGTAATTCGTTAAACCCTTGCTGTGTAACCTGATACAGTACCTCTTTACAGAGGTCTTGCTCAGGTTCGGGTATCTCAAATCCACCCCAACGTTCTCCAAAAGGCCTTGAAGAGGAGGCATTTGACCGTGTTTCTAGATCTACGTCTTCCTGGAAACGGACCCTTGATGATGAACGCGAACTTCTGTTTCGGGGATATTCCTCGCTTGCGTCTGCGGAACCACCAAATTGAGCCTGTCCCTCAAGTGGGCTTTGGCCATCTGCTCCATTTGGTTGTGTGAATCCTTCCTCTTCATCAATGTAGTATTGCCTGCGGGCCCATCTTTGGTTCAAGATGTTGGCTTGTTGCTCACCGGATACTTCATCGGGCACAATATGCTGGAGGTCGGTGGTCCTGAGGATCTCATTCCGCTCTGCGACGTCGGTGTTCCGTTCGAGCACAGGTGAGGGTATGTCTATGTCACCCTCCTGCTTTTGCCGTAAACGGGGGTTGCTTGTGTTGGAGGCATTCATGCTGCGAGGCGGAAATGCAGAGCCCAAGGGCTGACTAGACCGGATAGTATCAAGGGCACTGCGCACCGTTACCTCTTCAGAAAGCTCCATGATGTAGTTCCGGGTAGCTTCCTTCTCGATCGAGTAATAAGCACGGAAGATGCGTAGTATGTCTTTGCGCGAGACATAACCATCTCCATCAATGTCATATCCGTCGAAGACGATCTTGGCCTTTACATCCACATCTGTGGTATGCATTCCGTCAAGTCCTTTGATCCATTCTTCAAAACCAATGAGCCCGTTCTTGTCTGTGTCATAGTATGCGAAGATGCGATCGTAAACGAGATTCGGTGCAGCAGGGAAGCCATTGTAGCGCGGTACGAATGCGTGATTGAAATCGCGTCGGTCGATAGCCCATCCTATATTGTTTGGGTCCTCGGTCCACTCTGCCCCTGCCAAACAGGTGAACTGATCCCACAACGCCTCAACCTCCTCAGCCTCCATCTTTGTCTCAGCTACCAGACGCCTCTTCAATGCCGATTCGATCGAAAGGTTCATCATGTGAGGCTTTCCCGGGTAAACCGGTTCTTGTTTCTGCAAACTCAGGTAGCCTGCAGGTACGCGTATCTTGTAGAATATATGGTTCTTGTAGTGCGAGTTGGTTGCTTCGCAGTTGGAGCATAGGTCGAAGTCTGGGCAGTTTGCACAGTGCCATCTAGTTCCCCGAATGGGCTTCTCGTCACAGCCGTTACATGTGATTCCGCGATGGACTACGCCTTCCAGTCTGGCACGGTCTTCCGCGATGTGGTACAGGGTGCGCTGAAGGGTTTGGCCCTCTGGATCAATGGCATCATCGTCCGGGTCCTCGTCACTTCCCAGAGACAATTCTGTGGGCGCGACGCTCTCTCCACCATCCAGCGCAAGGCTGTCCGTGTTTCCAAACATTTGCGCATGCCATGTCGCTGCGCGGGCTATTGCATCGCGATCTAATGCTGGGTTGTTCGGGTTACGTTCGGTCAACCAGGTCAGAAGAGCATCGACTTCTGACGGCGAAAGGGCACGGTCGGGCGAGTGCACTACAAGCAGTCGATCGAAGAACTCTTCGTATGTGCGCCCGGAGAGGTGATTTATAGTCTCCTCGCTGGCGTCTGGCTGGGCGCGCAGAATGATGCTGCGCAGCTCCGCAGGCGTGACCAAGTTGTGAGGATCAAGCAGCACTCTGGTAGTCAGGACATGGTACTCGCCCAGCGAAGGTATGTCTTGCTCGCTCAGTGGCAGCACGGACGGTGCTGGTGCTGAGTCTCGCGGCCGCCGTCTGCGAACAGCATTGCTGCGGTGGAGACCGTCTGTGGGTGTGGAGGATTGGAGAGTATTGTATATAACATATGCCGCATACCCAGCCGATACTCCTGTGAGGAACAGCACGGCGGGGCCATAGCGGGATACGGTCGAGGGGGTTGATGCCGTCATGCTCGAGCGGCAGGGCCCCGAGATTGGGGCCTAGTAATAGACGAGCGAGGACAGAGTGATGGGCCACAATATAGGAGTAGGGAATCGATGTCTGGGGAGTACATGGCAGGTGATACCTACCAGCGACACCATAGCTATCTGTTGGAAGACTTCATGGCTCGGCAAGGACCAACAGACGCTCTCTGTTTCTTCGATGGAGGGCGACGCTCTTGCCCAAGTCGCCAAGACATCGCTTATTCAGCAAAACCTCCCCAGTTACGGACTTCCGCAGCCTCGCATTGGACAGAACACCACGATGCAGTCGAGCTAAGCACTTTCAACGTTATGAATTTATGTTTCTCCATGTGCAACTACATTACTACCACGCCGAATGGCCACCGTCTATCCTCAGATCCGACCCAGTCATGAACGAGCTCGCATCGCTAAGAAGGAAAACTGCAGCACCACGGTATTCCTCTGGCTTGGACAAGCGGCCCAACATATTCTGCGTCGGCCATGTTTCCCTTCGCTCAGGGTACTGCTTGAAAAGCTCCTCCACCATAGCCGTCACAATATAACCTGGCGAGATTGTGTTGACGCGAATTTTGTGCTCACCCCATTCTGACGCCAGGTTGCGAGCGAGCTGCAATACACCTGCTTTCGAAGCATTGTACGCTGAGCAGATAAGACCCTGTTGCTGTGTGTTAGTTGAAAGGCTACGTATTGCAACTGATTAGAATCATCGTACCCTGTTCGCCACAGTGCCAGACATGCTAGCAATAAGCACGATACTTCCGCCGTTGCCGAACTTGATCATTTGCTTCGCAGCAGCTTGTGCAGTCATCATGGATCCGGTGATGTTCACCTCAAACATCCGGTTCGCATCCTCAGCAGTATACTCCAATGCAGGTGTTTCCTGTTGGATACCGGCCGCCGCAATCAGCCCGTCTAGTCTTCCCTCCTTTTTTGCAATGTCATCGACGATCTCATTCAGCTTCTTTACGTCCCGCACGTCTATCTGGCGGTACTCAAGCGATGTTCCGAGATCCTTTCTTGCTCGTTCTGCGATCGGACCAAAGTCCGAGGAGGGCTCAGGAAGCCTATCAAGTGCGTAGACTGGGAGCGCTTGTTATTCAACAGATTCTATGCATCCCCGCATGTACGTAAGTATTTACCTCGTGCACCAGCTTCTAGCAATGCTTCGGCCTGTGTAAGTCCAAGGCCTCGCGCACCACCCGACACCAGTACGACCTTGCCGGCTAGGCTGAACTCTGGTAGCCCGTGTGTGGTCGACATGATTGGAATTATCTGAATTACAATTTCAAGATCCAGGAAGAAGAGGATGAATCTGAGTTACAATATACGCTGAAGGACTCGCTGGAAGAAGGATATTTATATAATTGATAATGAACGCACGATCGTTCCGTAAGCTCGATGCAAGATGGGGCTATTGTGGGTTTATATATCGGTTCCAGACGCCTTTTCAGGTCACCCGCTTCATTTGAAGCGAGTCTGGCCTTGGCCACCCTTTTCTGTCTGCATATATGGTACTATTGGGGTAGAGCTCAGGACGTGTTTGCGGGGAACTGTGCCCGGCATTTTCGGATATTGCCTAATTGGGCATTCCGAGAGCTCGCCGTGGGGTCTTGGAGGTGAGGTCCGGGGACATCAGCCAGATCACATTCGTAGCTTGAACTTTGCGCCAACAAGGTATGTGGGGCTCGAGAAGAATGCAAAATATTGGTTGAAGGTGTTGGGTGCGAGTATACATGGAGCATGTACAGCCGAATCGATAGTAGTATGCGGCGAGCGCATGTAGTAAATTCAGACGAGGCCGCCAGCATGCGCCTTGGACAACAGCGTATATATAGCTTTTTCCCTGCACTTAATGGTGTTCGGTCATCTAATTACACTCGCTTTTGAGGACAATATGGCAGCCTCTCTTCTCTGCACATTCTCTGCTGTGCAGATGCGCAGGAACGATACTCCGGATACCGTGGAATAATTTACCGGCTGTCACATCACAAGCACACAGTCTGTGTTTCAATGCAACGACACAACGAGGGACGACTCATCGTAGTCATAACTGCAAAGGTACATGTCGCGAGTCTGAGTTTACTTGCCTGTCGGCTGTTCTGGCAATTTGTAAGGAAACCTTTCCACCGATTCAACATGCGATGCCTGAGGGGCCACACCAACTGAGCCCTCAACTACCTCGTCGAGCCTTAGGGCCTGATCATTCCACGGCCCCCTCGGGGCTGCCTAAGGCGAACTTGCGCATTCACCTGATCGTACGATAACTCGTGTCCGCATATCGCTGTTGTGTGGTGAGGGAGCATGTCTCAACCCTAGCATGCGGCATAGTTACGTGTTACAAGGCGCCGGTCAGCGAACAAGGTGAACGGCGCAGTGAAGTCAAGAGTGCCGGGGTGGAAAATCTTTGCGCAGCATCAGATGAGGCAACCTTTTTGATTTCAGGCTTTCTTGACCATCGAACAGTTCGACCAAGGCTAGATTTGGCCGAATGCTCGCTCAATCTGACCTGGACGGGAAGCGCCTGCGTAAAACACCTTTGTTCTCACAGCAACCTAACAAGACAAGCATCTTTATCTGTAGTTCCCAACAATCTTCATTGTGCATCGAAAAACGAACAAGTAGAAACAGAGTTTCCGACAATGCATCGCCTACCGCCAGACAAAAACCGCGGCGCCTCGCTCGTGTAACGAGGCTGCCCCCAAGGCGAACGCGGTGGAGAGGGGCAGTGCAACAATCAAAGCGACCCCACACCAACCCATGGAATGAAACTAATATTAGGCGCTGCATTAAGAGGCTTAATGCATAGTCAACCTAAGCTTTATTTAGGCGCTGTCGTTAAGGCGGGCAGGAAACAGAACTGCGCATCGTTGCCGCGAGGCTGCGCATCATAGGTAGGGGTAGGGCGCCTATGCATTCCATGCCAGCGGGTAGAGGGCAGGACATGTAAAAGATACGTTCGCGCTGCAAGAGGCCTCTCTTTATTGACCATTCCTTTTATTTGTGTCCTGCTTCGTTTATTTCAAGGGAATTCTCTCTTGTTTCCCTTGCACTCCAACATTTACATCGTCGTCGTCTGCTGTTTCCTATCCCCACAGCCACCAGCCCCACTACTATACACAAACAATGGCGCCCAGCAACTTACCCCACAACTTCTTTCCTACAATCAATCTCCCTACCATCATCCAAAAGCGTTCAAGTTCTTGCGAAGTCAGCTACTCCAGCCAGTGCTCCACCCACCGCACTGTGCTCCTTATTGTCTCCACTTTTGTGGCCGCCTTCCTCTTCATCGGCTTTGGTCTCGCATGCATAGTGAAAAGAGCCCGCCGCAGGGCCCATGAACGCGCTCAAGCGGCAGCCAAATATCCCTACAGGGAACTCAGGCTGCTAAGACATGACTCTGAATTTCCTGTTGTAGCGAGGCTACCCTTGACAAGGCCGATGAGTGATACGAATCTCGCAGCTGGAGTCGACCAGAACTGGAGGAAGGAGGGTTCGTGGAATGAAAGGGCAGCAAAGAGAGATGAGGCTCCGCCGCCGTATACACCAAGAACACCCGAGCCTGTGAGGACAAGAATCTGAAAGAGGAGGAGTATGGCAGTAAATGAACACGAAGAAAAGACTCTAATGCTATACATATCAGAGCAGATATGGCTATTGCGTCACTAGCCGGCAGTGGCGCCGTTCAGACATGCGATTGTACTCATTGCCCCCTGGCCGTAGACGGACCCGGCATGAATGAGCTGTCAACTTTCATGTCTGTGACTGGGTATAACCGAGAGTGCCACAAAGCTGCGTCACCCACCCGCGGAAGATGCGGCCCATAGCCTGTTCATACTTCTGTTGATGGCTTTGAATACGACTAAGAAATGAATAGATCGAGCTGTATGATTGGGAGCACCTGGAAACTTGGGTGGAGACAGTGTTGACCACTCACCATTTTCCTGGACTTCTTGACATGGACTCGGAGATTGTTGGCGGCGATTAGATGAGCGACACGGCATGAAAGCATGCCAATATAGACGCGGAGAAGGATAGAGAATGGCGATATAGCTTTGCTATTGTACGTAAATTAAAAACACGCCCTCCTATCGGGTGAGATACTCTCGACAAAGAAGCATTTCGAGAGTGATTGTAAGACGTTACAAAGGCGATTTGTCAATAGTTGGTTGCACTTGCTTCACTTCGGCCGGCGTGTTTATATTGCACACTACACATTCGCTGAACACTACGTTGTCATTATGTCAGCGCTGAATTGAGCTGAAAGATAGTGTTCTGAAGCTGGCTAGCGCATAACGAGTTCAGCTGTATATGTCTGTTTGATTCCTGTTTTTTGAGCCTAAACTAGTCGCATCCCAGCTGCGCGCAGCCAACGGCAATCTTCGAGGCTACCAGCTATGCCAAGACCAATACGAGTCCAATTACATTTGTTTGTCGCTCCCAGGAGCCTTCCGAGACTAGAACAACCTTTCGACTCGTGCAGCCGCACTGCAGCCCTCTGTACCTGGCAGGCGGTACAGGATCACGACAATGTTAGTCTGGCTGGGAACGTTTGTCCTTCAACAATCGCGTGCTTCATACAAAGCCTTGGCATTTATCTAGTAACGTACGATAACTGTATGTCGCCCCTGAGGTTACTTGGGATTGAGCTGAGGTGATCAAGGAACAAGGTTGTCTATGAATGGTCCATGACACGACGGCACGGCACAGAATCCTTCTGGAATTGGGATTCAGCATCATTTTTCCTCGCCAGCGAACAGCAATGATTAACCGAAACCCACAACTAGGCTGGATGCAAGAAAGCGGCGGCGAGGCTCCCAGAGGCATCCTGACCGTTTGCTCAATATTGACCGCTCAGTGCCGTCCTGACCGATATCAACACCTAGATGAGCCTCGTGCGCGACTGGCGTGGTTCGTCTTGTAGGCTGGGGACAGCTGATTTGTCGCGCAGCGTTGGCGCGCTAATTGCTTTTGCAACCGTGCCCAGCCGGTTGAAGGGCCAGGAGGAGAGTGAGCACTCTCTGCAAGAAGCCCGGGAGAGCCAAAAGCTGTGCAACGCCCTCGCGTGCCCAAGTCCGAGGTTGAAGCTGTTTGCGGCCTTGCGAACGTTGTCGGTCACAAGCATCGAGGTAGTGTCGAGTCTCCGCCTTTTTAACTTTCCCCTAGAATTTGATCCTCTGTTTTCGTCCGGCCCCGCCGTTGCGTGGCGTGTTCTGTTCCGCCTCATCTCATTCAGTCTTCAGCTACCTTCAGTCTGTTTCCAAGTCCTTCCAGACCCTTGAACAACGACGTCTCGTTAGTTAGGCCTCTCTTCGCAATAGTTGCCAAGGCACCAGTCCTTATCCGGCCTAGACAGTTTCTGTGCTCCACACTCGGGCACGAACCTCGTTGTCATCTGTACGCGCCAGTCCAGCAAGACTACCCGTCCGACTACCGCCTCTTCCTTCTCTGCATACATTTTACCGTCCTGCTGGATCGCATCCCTCCCCGCTCCTGTGTGGCGCATTATCAAGTAAGGCTTTTATTATCTTTGCTCTTCATACATGCTCCCTTGCCCAGTCTTCAACAGCCCCTTCATGAGACGCCCACCGCTCAGATGCAAGTGTGAGACCAAGTCGGGAACCACCACCATTTGCGGCTGCACTGCACCAATTTGTTCTCTGCGGTGCTAGAAGACCGACCTGTCCCACCGCGAGGCGCTCCTCTAGGCAAGAGGTCGGGTACCACAAAAGAGTAGCACAGCAGCAAAGTCACCTGCCTTAATGCGAAAGCATGGCTACTCATCCCAGGCAGTGCGCTGCGGTGGTGGTTGAGACCTTGCATGCGAATCTGCATCGGAGAAGGGCTGCAGCTAGGACTGTCAGATTACTTCAAGAGCCGGAAACTTCTCCTCCAGCACCCCTCTGCATTTCATTACTCTTGCTCGAATTCCATCGCTAACCATGGTCTTGTCATTAGGTCTCTTTTACCCCTCTGTTGGCGCTAGTGTCGGGCCGTTGGGTGACGTTTCATCTTTCTGGAGAAGGCAGAAGGGGTTGAACATCAAAAGGGTCTTATTGAACAAGAGACGTTCACGTGACGTCCGAGCACAATCAACAATACCACTCGTCGATGCGCGCTATGATCCAGTTGTAGTACCTGAACGCGCCTGTACGAGCATTAGATTCAAATCTTCCCGAGCATCGTTTATCGATTCGAGCAGTGCTCCCAACCTCTCCGGTCAGCCCGTCCTGAGCGGCAAATCTTTGACCGACTCTTTTTGCGTCCAGTCTCGTCATGCAGAGGCCCTGATTCCATTTCTGGCTTTACCTGTACAACAATTTACATCGCCACTTCTCGAGCTCCCCATTCACCTTGAACAAACACAAGAAATCCCAACCGAATTTGCGAGTCCGGCCAGCATGTCTCAGAGCCGGACAAACACCATTGATTCTCAGACGTCGGCGCCTTACATTGCGAGCCGGAACAGCAGTCAAACAAGTCTAAACCGTCAAGATATCCAGGATGGCGGGATCGAGCGCCCCTCGACCGCATCTACCCGGACGCCTGGCTCTGTATCTCAATCGCCAGCCACGCTCGCAGGCTTGGGTACACCCGCATCCTCCACAGCAGGGCTATCGGGGCTAGTATGCAATGTACACAGAACCACCGGCAGGGAGCCCCATCCGCTTGTGGGTGCAACCACAACTATTTTGGGCGACAAACTCTACGTCTTTGGTGGCCGAAGACTATCACGAACAAGGCCACAGTTGACGTCGGACTTGTACGAACTGGACCTTGTTAAGCGACACTGGACAAAGGTCGAGACCAAAGGCGATATACCACCCCCACGGTACTTTCACAGCGTTTGTGCACTAGGAGATGCCAAGCTCGTATGCTATGGTGGCATGTCGCCTGCGAACTCCTCATCAAATCAAGCCACTTCCGTAATACAAGGCGCGCCTGCTGATGCCCAACCTGAAGTTGTGGTCATGTCCGATGTTCACATATACGATGCGCCTACGCGAACATGGATGCATGTTGCTACGAGCGACGCGCCACAAGGTCGATATGCTCATTGCGCCACTATTCTGCCGAGCTCGGCCGTATTCAGCTCAACGAGCGCTGCAGTAACCGCCATACGTCACAACCCGCCTTCGTCAAATCCGAACCAAGGGTCGCTGGGCGTTGATCTGGACGGCGAGGGTGGCGCAGAAATGCTAGTAGTGGGCGGCCAAGATAGTGCCAACCACTATATTGAACAGATTAGTGTTTTCAACTTGCGAAGCCTCAAGTGGACGGGAACTAGCACATTGGGTAGGAGTTGCGGTGCATATCGAAGCGTGGTCGCGCCATTAACCAGTATTCACCCAAGTGATATTGGCGAAGGAATACGGCCTGGTGACGAAGGAAGAACACCCGATGAACAGGAGATCAGTACGAGCTACGAGTCTTCGATGCTCATTTACTCAAACTACAATTTTCTCGACGTTAAGCTTGAGTTGCAAGTACGGCATTCCGACGGCACTCTTTCCGAAAAGCCAATGCATGGCAACTTCTCGCCGCCTGGGCTTCGCTTTCCAAATGGCGGTATTATTAACAATCACTTTGTAGTCAGTGGTACATTTTTAACTTCATCCAAGCAAGAATACGCTCTATGGGCGCTTGATTTGCGTACACTAAGCTGGGGGCGAATAGAAGCCGGAGGCAATATTTTCAGCCAAGGAAGTTGGAACAGAGGTGTGTTGTGGAATCGTAGAAACAGTTTTGTGATTCTAGGCAACCGCAAGAGAAGCCTGGTTGAGGATTACAATCATCGACGCATCAACTTCTCGAACATGTGTGTCGTGGAACTGGAGGCATTTGGATTGTACGACAACCCACGTAAAGTTACGCCCGCGTCAGGCTTCCAATCTGTAAGCGCGCCACCTCTGCATGACCGACTTGACGTGCTTGCTGGCGGCCGGACACTTTTACCTGCAGCCACCGAACTTGGACAAATGGCTCTGGGCATGCGAGAGTTTGCTGACATGGACTTCCTTGCCTTGAATGGCGAACGCATCCCCGTCAACTCGCATATGATTGCTCGGCGGTGGGGCCCATACTTCAATCAGCTTCTTCGAGAGAGCGCACAGAGCGCCGAGAAGGAGAGTGCCGATGCTGCGACGCTGCGGCCCACAGCCACTATGCATCCATCACGCAACTCGAGCATAACTATCACACCTTCTATTCGAACAAACTACTCAGCGGCCACAACACTTACGGCCAATACAATAACACAATCTGAGGTTACCACAGTCTCAACAAATTCTTACTCTTCACTGAGTCCACCAGAAGCGTCATCACACGCACCTTCTCAACGGCCTCGGACACTATTCCTACCCCACACTCACCTTACACTTCAAGCACTGATACACTTTCTATACACATCATCCCTCCCACCACAAAACTCACAACTATGCTCGCCACAGATACTCTGCTCTTTACTCCAATTGGCGCGGCCATACCACATCGACGGCCTGTTAGAAGCAATCATTGAACGTCTGCACACCTTACTCGACAATCGAAATACGGCGGCAATCTTCAATGCTGCAGCCATGGCAGCTGGCGGCGGGTCGGGCATCGCTTTCATGGGCGTCAACGGTATCTCTGGTTCAAACGGAACGACAAACGGCTTCTCTACCTCTCAGCTAAACAACAGCACCGGCTCTACCGACCTCGAACGCACCTTCGACGCAGGACTACGTGCACTCCGCCTCAACACCGACATTGAGCGAAACCACGATGACGAAGTCAGCTCAGCTGCATCCGAGTCTACTTCGGCATCGGCATCGGATAGCGGCCTTGGAGACGGCAGTATAATTGAAGAACGAGAAGTGTGGAACGGCGAGATTAGCGCCGTAGTTGGACTGCAGAAGCGTGGTCTCAGAGGATTGATGGAGGGCCGGAGGATCCGCGAGATGGGCAGAAGTAGGGATAGGAGTAGGGATGATGGTGGCATGGGCAACGGGGATGGGGTCGGGCTGGGCCTACAAGGTGCTTGATTGCCATGATGTTGAGCAAAGGCAAGGGGTAGAAGCGACTAAAGATAAGAGAAGGAGAACATCCATCTGACATAGAGAGGTGGATCTGGGGAAGATGTAACTTTTTTTTGGTCTTTCGAGTGCTTTGTACAGTTTTTTCTAGGGTGGACATTGTTTGTCGAGAGATGTTTTGTTGTGATATCTTGAAGCTGGTTTGGAATGAAGTTAGATAAATGAATCAAATGTTGAGAGATGTTATCTTTGTGTGGCACCTTCTTTGTATACACGTCATATTACGTGCTTACCTATTTTTCCTCTCTAGGAGCTTTCTCCGGATTTCCCCAGATTTTGGCATCGCCGATATCGGATATGGCTCAATCGCATGTCAGCGAGATGAATACTGCGAGGTAATTTCATAAAATCACCAGCTACAGGAGAAATAAGGATGTGATAAAGTACTTTAGCGATATATACTTCATTATCATGATCAATTTAATATATTGGCCCATGTCCTACAACGGACGAAACTAGATTCATAGGCTTGCCCAAAACATGTACACGCTTCTCCTACCAAGTCCCCACCTTGTCAGATACTTAAGCCGCGCTGGTCTTCTCCTTTGCAAGCGGGGTGAACCGCAGGTAAGGCTTGACGATGCGGAAGTCAGGGAATAGATCTTTAGCCTGCTCGTTGGAAACGGATGGGTGGACAATGACGTCGTCGCCAGGGACCCCTACAAACGACATATATCAGCAATTGTCTTTTTATACTCCCCAACAACACTATCAAATATGTAATAACAAAGGGGGGAACTTACAGTTAATGGGCGTAGTAACCCTGTGCTTATCACCCGTCTGCAGACTATCCAACACACGCAGAACCTCGGCGGTATTCCTACCCGTCGACGCCGGGTAGCTCAGAATCAAGCGAATCGTCTTCTTAGGATCGATGATGAAAACCGAGCGAATCGTAAACGCAATACCTTTCTGATCGACATTGGTGGCATCCTGGTGGTCCAGCATATCGTACAGCAGCGCGACCTTGCGCTCCTTATCGCCTATTATGGGAAACTTGAGGTTGCTACCCGTAACCTCGTCGATGTCCTTGACCCACTCCTCGTGCGACTCGATGGAGTCGGCGGAGAGGCCGATGAGCTTTGTGTTGCGGCGCGCAAATTCTGGTTCGAGCTTTGCGAAGGCACCGAGTTCGGTGGTGCAGACGGGGGTGCGGTCGGCCGGGTGAGAGAAGAGGATTGCCCACTTGTCGCCGATGAACTCGTGAAAGTCGATGGGGCCGGCGGTGGTTTCGGCTTTGAAGTTCGGGGCGGTGCTGCCCAGGCGGAGGGGCTCAGAGCGTCCTTCGGCCATTGTTGGTGGTTGTGGTGGTGCTGTGCACATTGGTGTTAGGTTTGCTTTGGGGATGTAGCGGGCTAAAATGGTAAGTATGGAGGGGCAAGGGGAGCTCTGGTACCTTTTGACGTAGGGTATGGGGACTAGGCTTGTTTATGGGGGCTCTGCGATGAGTTTTTCGCAAAGTTCAGAAGAGTGGAGCTGGTGATTGAGAGATTGAAAGATTGAGAGATCGAGAGAAGAAAAGAGAATTCGCTGATGACTTATGGGCCGTTTTTTGGTGTCTCCAAGAGCCCTTCTCCTCCTACCTTTGTAGCTAGCGTATATTGCGCAATCGACTCGTTCATCACGTGAATTCCACCATATCTTTTCTGCCACTCAGCTCCTCCCGTATTAGCCAGGAAACAGTCGAATCACAGTCTCCGAGTCTCCGGCGGTGTCCAATTGCCAATGGTTTGCCCCTCGCGCCAAGGGCCTTTCGTCATTGAGACAGGAAAGGCGAGATTGGTCATTGACCCTTTTTGTCCCTTCACGTGGGGTTTTGCTCAAATCAAGTCTGAGGTCGGTAGAATTTTGCTGCCTTGGCGGGGAACAGACACGAATAGAGCGGGGGTCATGACAGAAATGATCAGAGCTAAACTGCGTTCTTCATGTCGTTCTAAGGTGCAGCTGGCGATATCGTCCTCCTGCAGGTGTCAACATTGGGAACTGCGGCCTCAATGGATATCTGTTGCAGTTGTGTTACGAGTGTGGCAAGGTATGTTGGTATAGATACTCAGGACGACTACTCTACTGCTGATGCTACAAGCAAGCTGCTTACATACCACATAGTTCAATGTAAGCAGTCTTCCGCAAAGTGCAGTTTAGTTGTGTCCTGGCGATAGATCTCTCCTTCAGGATACAACCAATCTATGCAACCCTGCAGGGCTGGTCATAGTGGAAGACATCCACAGAGAAATATTCTACCTTTTCAAGACTCACAGCTTTGCCTACCCATACTTCTCCTATTTTGAATTAGCCAAGGCGTTGTCAGCCCTACGAGTGAAAGATGATTGGTGCATTTGGTCATGTTTTTGTCAGGGTAGGTGCTTAGTCTGGGATTGGCATCACAGCCAATGGTACTATAAACGCACGGTTGAACCCCGCCTGCTATCGTTGCCAAAGCACTGTTGCTCCCGACACGTAGTCAGCAAAGTTAATGACAACACACCCAAAACAAATACAACAGCTCCTGTCATTGTCACAGAGCCTGAACCCCATGCTGTCAATAAGCTAATATTTAAGCGGCCCTAAGCTATCCACTGCTAATGTCTTGACAGAAAATATCAATCCACATCCGACGGAAATTGTTCCGTCGGATGCGAAAAAAGGCTGGGTGTATCCGTACCCGTCGGGGAGCTGTGGGGCTCTCCAAAGGACCATTAACCACAATGAGATCATCTTCGGATGATGCATCGTATCTTTTTTGCCTCGACCGGTCCGTTAGCTCGAGGCGTCCTTGGCAAGCCCGCTTTCCACTTGATTCATGCTATTCCCGACCAATACCAAACGTTCGCGACAGAGCCTACGGACATCTCCAGAGCCCGGCTCAACGTTCATTCGTCCCTCAATATGCACACTGGGTACACGTGTGGGTTGAGCCCGTGGTACCCGTGCCGCTGGAGCTATGTGGTCTACATCTTTAATCAATTGCCGAGTCCGCCTTCATTCCCAATCCTCAAAGCCCATGGTGCTATTGCTCTAATACACGATTCTGGGCCGCGGAAAGGGGCCTTCAAGACAACATGAACCCTAATACTGATCCAATGGACCCCACTCAGACCTATGCCGGGGGACCATCCCCGGATAATACACCGGGAATAAGAGTGATGGAAATGGGTTCAGAGGGTACTGATCAACAAGAGACAGGCTATCACCCTGCTATTGAATCAAGCAGTAATTCGGAAAAAGACAGAGACAGCAAGGTCTATGAAAGTGATCAACAGTATAAATCACAAGGAAATATACAAGAAACAGAGATCGTCTGGCAGTACCTCACCTTTGATACCGAACTTCCACATCCAACCACCATCTATCCACAGGAACCAAACCAAGGGCCCCCGCCCCCGCCTCCAAATCTTGTCAAATACACCAATCCCTTCGAATGGTCGGATACAAGGAAAAGCATCACAGTGTGGATATCATGTCTCATCACTACTCTCACCGCATTTTCGGCAGGAGCATTGAACCCAGCTATTGGACAGATGAAGAATGAATGGGGCATAAGCAATGTTGCTGCTTTGGTATCAATCACCACTTTTACGACAGGTTTCGCCGTTGCTCCAATGGTCCTAGCTCCCTTCTCCGAGATCAACGGTCGACGACCCGTCTTCCTTGCCTCTGGTCTTCTCTTCGTACTCTGCCAACTGTGTTCTGGTCTCACACAATCATATGCTGGATTACTCGTCGCACGCTTCTGGTTAGGCGTTGGTGGCTCAACTTTCTCTACCATGGTCGGGGGTGTGGTATCTGACATATATCACACCGAGGATCGCAACACGCCAATGGCTCTCTTTTCCGGGGCAGCGTTGTTCGGGACCTCCTTTGGACCCCTTGTATGCGGCTTCATCGCGCAGAACATGTCGTGGCGCTGGATCCAATACGTACAGACGATAGCCTGCGGAACAATGGTTGCGCTCATCTGCGTCGTCTTCAAAGAAACAAGAGGCTCTGTCCTGCTATCCAGAAAAGCAAAGTGCCTAAACAAGTGGTACGCTGCCCGCGAGGAAGCAGGATACTTTGGCTTCGACGTCCGCGATGATAAGAACCCCGGCTCTACGATTTCTCAGCGTCTCCGCTTCAAGGTCCGATCAGACGAGGAACGCGCATCCCTCGGAACCATGATCGGCATTTCTCTATACCGGCCCTTCCATCTCCTCTTCACAGAACCCGTTGTCTTCTGGTTCTCCCTCTGGGTAGCTTTTTCCTGGGCTGTTCTCTACCTCGCACTCGCCGCTATCCCCCTCATATTCCGCAACAGCTACGGCTTCTCCATCCAACAGGCAAACGCCGTCTTCGCCTCCATGGGCATAGCCAGTATCCTCGCAACCATCCTCTCCGTCTACCAAGAGAAAATCGCAAAGAGGTATGGCAAGACGTCGAACTCGCCGGAAGGTCGCTTGTACTTTGCTTGCGTAGAGAGCGCTTGTATGCCGATTGGACTCTTCATGTTTGGCTGGACTACCTCTGCGGGATTACATTGGGTGTTACCAGCGATATCTATCGGTGTTGCTACCGTTGGCATTTTCTCGATTTACCTGGCTACTTTCAATTATCTGGCGGATACTTATCATCGCTATGCAAGCTCAGCACTCGCTGCTCAGTCCTTCTGCCGCAATATGCTCGGCGGTATATTTCCCTTAATCACAACGCAAATGTATAATAAACTTGGCTATGGCCCTGCGAGCAGTTTGCTAGGTGGAATCGGGGCTTTGCTAACGGTTGTGCCGTGGATACTGGTTTTTTATGGTCCACGGATTCGTGCGAGGAGTAAGTTTGCGAGCGAGATTATGACTTGAGTGCTTCTTTTTTTATTTACGTAGGAAGCTTTTAGATACCCTAGTATAGCCAAGATGAAAAAGATATGTTTTTTTTCTACCAGGTGAACGGCAAGTCTTCTGTAGTACGTACATCCAAACTCGATTGTGATGAGAATACAAGAGTCACTTCGTTAGCCACAGACACCAAAATCCAGAGAAAGGACGACATAAAACGTAGTATTTCTTTTCCGATTATGACCCGACCGAACCATCCTTTTGGAATTACAGATGTTTCGAAGAACACAATTCAGAATCTGGCCTTGAACATCATCTACTAAACTAAATATGTAAACGAACAATAACCCCCCCCCCCCCCCTTTATGCGAATTCTAGGCCACAGAAACCCAGCCTACTCCTCCAAGTAAGAAAGCTTACGCATCTCGCCTAGCCTCGTCCTAGCCTGCGCAAGCGCATTTTCAAGCTGAAGAATCTCAACCTATAAGAGCATATTAGTAAACTTTCCTCCTGAGAAACAATCAGACTGTCACATACCTGCTGCTCCATCTGCCTGACCTTAAACTCGTGATCACCCAGCTTGCTGTAATCCACAACCTCACCCTCATCCCTATTCTTCTGGGCAATAATCTCCTGCACCTGCCTAACAAGCGATCTGCAAGCGGCGGTGACGGTCTTGGACGCGCTCTCGAGCTTGTCTTGCGTCTTGCTCATGAAGCTAGCCTTGACACGACTGGCAGCCACCAACTGGGCGGTGGAAGCAGCGACGTCGTTGGAAGCGACGATGAGTTGCTCGGGCGAGTTGCGGCCGGAGATGACGCCGTCGGCGGTTTCGATGAGCATGTTGGTTGAGTTGGCAACAGCTTTGGCGGCGCTGATGAGACCCTCTGTCCAGCGGTTGTGCTTCTTGTAGAATTGTGTCTTGGACATGCTACCACGGCCTTCGCGCACGATTTCTTGCTGAGATGCAGTTGCGGCCTTGATGAGCTGCGCAATGGCATTCGTGACGGCAATGGCGGCCTCGAGAATGGAATCGTGGATCTTGAGTTCATATGTCGAGTATGAGTCTCTGGGCTTCTTCATCAACTTAGCCAGACGCTCAGTGGCTGCGTCGATGGCGTTAGCAGCCTTGGTCAGCTCGCTATCGACCAAGTCACCAAGATCGCCTGAAGCGTTGGTGATCTTGCTCTTAGGCGCAAAAGCGTCCGCAAGCTTAGACAGACTCTGCAAGTTACGCACCACCTCCGTGCTGTTGTTGATGACGACATTGATCTTCTGTTCAGCGTCCAAATCATATAGGCGTACTGATTGAACATTACGGAAGAACCTGATAGTCGAAGTTGCAGAGGCTCGCGCTGCGTTAATGAGTTGGTCAGCCTTGTTCTCGTCGGAAGCAAAGCGTGTCAATCCCTTGGTGTTCACCAGTACATCGACAATAGAACCACCATAGTTGTTAACAGCGTTGATAACCTCGGCGTGCTTGGCGTTCGGTCCATCAGCGATGAAGTTGTTGAATGCTGTCGAAAACTCCATTGTGCATGTTGATGCCTTCTCGATTTGTGAGAGAACGTAGGAACCAGTGGCATTCTGGTTACCAGCTTGCATGGGAGAGTCCAACTCGTACAGAGCATCATCAACCCGCTGTACACCACTTTGTAGGACAGAGTCGATAATGTCGTTGATCTTTTGAAGGCTGTCTTGGATAAGAGTATCCAGATGACCATCCAGGACGTTGTCGTTTGTGCTAGAGTTGAG